GTTTCTAATAGTATTCCTCATTGTTTTATTTTTTTTATTATAATTTTATGATTTATTTTCCTTCTCCGAATGAGAATTTTATTTTAAAAACAACTTGAGATTATTGATAAGAGTAAGAATAATCTTGATAATCATAACCATATTTTAAAGTTTATTTGACAATGACTAGGTTCTCAAAAAATTAAAGTCTTCTTTGAGAAGGAACCAATGATATGTTTCTCATTACGTTTCAACTAAGTTATTAGACAAAGATTTTTTTGATGATAAATTTAAAATTGACTATCCATTTAGTGAATGTGAAGAGTTGTCAGTAAATTATAACCTTTAATTCATAAAATTAAGAATTTATTCCTATCTTGTAGAATAATTAGCTTCTATCATGCATTTAGTGAGACCAATATATGCATTAATTTGTTAGCTAACATGACTTAAAATAAATATAAGCATTGAATATTTTTAGATAATTTTTCTCCTAATTTTGATCATTTTCTATGCTTATGGGATTAGGTCTTAAGGATAGTTTGTAATTTTGTTTTCTTGAATTTTTAAACCTTATTTAATATAAACAAAGTGAATTCAATTAATATTGTCATTAAAAATTAATTTTTCTCTCTCTCACTCTCTTGTTGCCAAAGTTATTTTTTCTTATAATTTTACTTGATTAATTTTTATAATGTAATATCCATACATAATTTTTAATTTAAATAGTATACATAATTTTATTTCACAATCTATTATACTTGTTTGTACTTTTAAGTAATACCATGTGGATACTTTTTTTAAACATAATAAAGGAAATATATATAATTATAAATTTTGAAACAAAATATAATTTTAGAAGAATATTTTATATATTTCTTAACAAAATATATATTTTGAGAGAGAAGTAAAAAAATAAGAAAGTAGAAATGAAAATATTAAATTTAATGGATAATGTGATGAGGATAAAGAAGAAAATAAGAAAATTTATCAAGTATTTACAAAAAAATAATAAAAAAATAATAAATATTATAAATAATAACTTTGAGTTTTTAAAAAATATTATTATATAATTAGAGATTATGTTAGCTACATGTTTATTTTATGTATATTTTAAAATTTTGATAATGTCAAATAAACATCTTAGAGTAATAAACAATGGACAATTAATGATTTAAGCCTATTGAACAACATATAATCCTCTAGATTTTGAATTCATCTTAATAAAAGTAATAAAAATTGCTGTGATGAGTTCAAAGGACTAAAAATAATTAATAACATATTTATATAATCTATAAATGATTTGGACTAATTACTAGATGATTACATTTTTTAAAATATGATTTTTTGAACCTCTTTGACTCATTAACTCCTCTAGCCTAATCTTTAGCAAGTGAATATTAAAAAAGTAAAAACAATAATTTAATGATAATCTATTATGTAGAAGTGTCTAATCTGTTAAGCTTGTTTTGTTTTGGTATAAATTAACTACATTTGTTATCTAATATGTTAGGAAGTATTCCTTAACTTATTAGAATGTAACAATGAAGTTTTTTTTTTTTTTATCATGTAGAGAGTCCTAATCATTTCGAGTTTACACACACGCATATTGTTTCTAATCAAAACAAAAACCACATATATAAATTCTGCAATATGCTAAAATCAAAATAGAATAAAACTAATAATTAAGAAACCTAAGTAATCAATTAGCTTGCATAAATTTACAAAAATATCAAGGTTTTAGGGTTAAAATCATAAACAGAAAAATAAAGAAACATAACCTATATGATCATGAACTTAAAAGCTTATCTTTCATAAGCTATATTGCTTATTGTATTTCAAGTTGTAAATTAAGTTTTGTAAGAGTTTTTTTTCTATGATTTTTTTTTTGGTGAGGTGAAACATTTCTCATAATGTAAAAGTGTGAAATAAAGTAAAATTTTAATCTGAGAGACAATCTAAAGCTCGCAAACGAATATTATAATTTTTTTAATATAGTAAAAAAAATCTAGAGCTTTACTTGGAGACTAGACACGCGCATACATTTGAAGGTTAAATTAGAATAAATTTATTTCTAATTCTTTATCTTTAATATTTTTAAAAAAAATTAATTAATTTATTTTCTCTTCAATTGATTAATTCTATAAGCTCTTGCTTCTCTCTATTATTTTATCTATCATTCAATTGTAGGAAGTAATATCTTTTAAAAGCATACATACATACATACATACATATATATATATATATATATATATATATATATATATATCTATATATCTGTGTGTGTAAACTTTTAAAACTCAACTTGGACCCTCTTGAGTTTTGAAACCACTTGATAATAAGAATAACAATTGGTAGGTACTATAATACTTATCCTCGTACCCGCGTTTTAAAAAAATACTTGTACCTAGTCTCATACCCTTATGGATAATAACATTAATCTTCATATCCATACTCTCTAGGTATCTGCATACTCATACTGTATCCATTACCTGCGTTTGTTTGAGGAAAAAAATACTTATCAAGAAAAATATGCTTATATACCTTCACATAAATAGCATAATAATACAAAATTCAATATGTAATTGCCGAACAAAGTACAAGCATAGATAAAAAATAAATATTCAAAGATCACAAGTGCTAAATGTATCTTAATACAACAACTTTCTAAATTAAAATTCTTAGAAACCATAAGCGAAATTAAAAACACAAGTTAATTTGTTAACAATAACCCTGTCTTGTGTGAGATCTGATTGAACGACAACAATATTAAACTGGACAATGATGACATGGATCTACACAATGTGTGACCTTTCATATGGGGTCACTTGGTGACCTCTTGTGGCGGTATTAGCAACTAGCTCTAGTGATTCATGGTTGCTGCAATAGGTTTAAATGAAAATGATATTGAAAATGAGAGTAGAATTATGATAGAAAAACTCAAGTACTAAATAGACACACAACACATTTTCTTTTAACTTTTGAATATAAAATTGTAAGAAAAATAATAGATTAATTAAAACAATATAATATAATTAATATATATACTAGTACTTCTAACTCATGTACTATACGAAAATATTTTATAAAAAATATAACTTTATTTAAAAAATTATTTTAATGAATTAAATATTTATAATGTATATAAATTTTAAAAAAAATTTAAATAAAAAATAAATGGTCACATTAAAATTTTGTATTGAAAAAATATGTGTATATAAAATAAATTATACTTTTTCATCCAAAAAAAATTATTTAACATGTCACTTGTAAAAATATATAATAAACTCATTAAAAATAACAAAAATAAGAATTAACAACATTTTTATATATTTTATATCTTTTTAAAATTTTCTTTGAATGTAAATAAATAGTAAGAATAATATTATTTAGATTCAATAGATTATAGTTGTGTCTGTAACGACATATTGCATAGGAAAATATTATTTTAAATTAAAATATAAAAAATAAAATTAAATATTATCAATAAATAATAAACCTACGGTAATAGTAGGTAATTGTAAAATTTATAAAAATATTTACAATATGTTTATTATTTGTCCTTTACTTTATGATTTAAATCTCAATATGATTTTATAAAAAAAATATTTGTATGAAAAATATTTTGTATGTTTGTCATATATAAATAATTTTAAAAAAAAATTAATTTTATATCAACTATGTAATAATTAAATTATATTAGCTTAGTTAAATGATAAAAAATAGTAAATAATTTTTTCTACTAAAAATACGAATTAAAATAATTTTTTTAGTTTACTTTATCACTAAATATATTTTTATATTAATCTTATATAATTTTACATCAATAGTATAATAATACAAAAATTTAATACATAGTTATAGAACAAAGTTTAAACATAGACAAAAATTAACATAAGTTATAGGACAAAGTTCTAGTTAATACAAAAATTCAATATATAGTTATAGAATAAAGTTCTAGTTAATGTGTGTGTGTGAGTGGGTGGGTAGATATGAGACGGGGTGAGTACTTAGATACTCATACTCACACTCATTTCTATTAAAATTTTCAGATATTTTTTCATACCTATACCATGTCTTACCTTTTATGGGTAAATTTTGTGAGTACCCATGGAATACTATAACTGTTGCCATCTCTACTTGATAACAAGTTATTAAGTGACAATATCAAAATCTAAATGACAAAAACATTTAAAATACACATAATATTTTTATTTTTTTAATATTGACGAAAATATTATCTTCCTCTCCTAAGTTGGTGTGAAGAATAAATGCTTTTTTACACACATTAGATGATATTAAGTCAAAAGTAAGTGTATTATCATTCAAATTTCTATCAAGTAGGTCAACTTTATAAAATATTATATAAAAATAAAATTAATAAATACTTTATCATATCACTTTATTATGAGTATTATGCTTTTAAAATATAATTAAATATCAATTTTTAAATAAAAAATCTATAAATATTTAAATTATGTAAAATTTAATATACATATTAATATTTATAAAAAAATTTATTAATTGGTATAAATGAGATTTAACTTTATTATGGCTATGACACGGTGGTATGGGCTTTTTCTGTCCTATTGAGTCATGATTCTAATTCCATTGACAACCCTTATGCTAAATGGGGACTAGTGCTAACAATATTTTCGTTCATTTTGGAATCTGTTTGTTGTCCGATGCTTTTCTTTGTTACATTGTTCTCCCCCTTTCTACAAATAAAAAAAAATAAATAAACACATTTAATAATATTTTATAAGTAATAAATTTTATTGAATTACCTGTTAAATTAAAATTTTGAATAAAATAAATCATGTATACAAAATTTTATTTTAATTAAAATTAAATTATTCATCAAATTCTAATTTAGTAGTTCGTTACTTTATTTAATATTTAAATAAATCTTACTGGTAACTTACTTATTTATAAAGTCTAAATTATCTATATTTTAATACACGTGATCAATATAATATTTCTTGATAATCAAGAAAACAGTCCACAAGCCTCTCTTCTTCCGAGTTTAACTTTCGAGATTATTTGTATGTGTTTCATAGGCCCTCGGCCTTAAAGGCTGATAATATGTGCTCATAACCACCTTAACGAACAAGCGTTTCCTCAATACTTAGCTATTGGAATCATATGGCAATGAAGTGAAAATGAACCTTATTTCCGACTTCTAAAAGGAACATTTTGACCTTGCTTCAATTTTCTAAATTGAACCTAAATAAACCTCAACCACAGGTCAATTACCATAGCAATCAGATTGAGAAAAAACACGAGCACAGGGCTCCTGAAGAAGGTAATAATAATATACGTCTGATGAGAAGGGAGAAAAAGTGAAAGTAACTATATCTCACATTCTTGAAACAGCTTTATTTCTATCTCAAACAAAAATAGAATACGCTTCCAATTACTCCAACGAATTTGACATGGTGGGACAACTTAAGTGTCTGACAAAATTATTGCCAACAACCTTTCCTGAAGTGCAAAATGAAACTTGAAGGCAGCTAGTTGACAACATCAAGAACCAGCTTGCGAGACTTTAGAACAGACCACCGAAGGCGACGGTAATAGGCAGCTTGAAGTAATGCCAGTGATAAAACAAATATCCATTTAAATCCCATCTGCATATGGTAGAAATGTCCTTAGGAAATAAGATATTTTCTTTATTGATTCCGTAGAAAAAGGAAAATAAAGGAAACAAACCAATTTTCTCTCTTCCATCTCAGGTTCAGCAGCCCAAGACAAGAAAGACACAACATCTTTACCCATCTGGAGCAAAACATAACAGGAGAAACAAATTGTTTCATTCTCAAGTTCATAGATAATCAAATGTGATAAGTTTACAAGAAACAATCCTCAACAAATAGAAGTACCTGAGCTTCTGTAGCAGGGGTACCATCTTCATATTCAACAGCACCATCATTAAGCATTTTAGGCATGGCAATGGCCCCGCCAGGAAAATAAGGATTATAGTGCAGTCCTTCTCTAATCTACATTATTATTTAAAGATAACCATAAACAAAATTTTCACTTTAACCCAAATATTGCCACACCTAGGACTGGCCTACACTATTGGCACACAGTATAGGGAAAGATTAATCATGAACTTGCATTAAATATTTTGATTCAATGAAAAATAAAAAGTTGAGAAAGTACAATGACATATAGAAGCATGACTGGCAACTTAAGTCACATGTAAGTGCAAAGAAATATTTATCATTATATGTTAGGGTCCAGCTCAATGATGTAGGAGGTTGAAAAGTGTGTGCGAGAGGCAGAAGGGTCAGAAAGGGGAGAGACAGTATCGATGGTTAGACATGTAGTGAGGCAGCTAGAGAAAGATGTAAGAAAATAGCAGGAAGGTAGTTAGGAAGGATCATCAAGTAATTGATAGTTTGTATCTTGTATAGGGGGAAACCCCTGGAGGAGGATGGGCTCCTTGAATTTCGTTGGATCAATAACACAAGTCTTTCTTCCACTTTCCTATTCTACACTTTTTTCTTTCTGAAATCTTTTGGGAGTCGAAACATTATGTGTAAACATTGACGAAATCTATTTCAACTAGGAATAGCCTACACCAAATTTAGCCAAGGATCATATACAAAAAAATAAGCACCATGTTAGGCTCTAACAATCCCTAACCTACCATGCATACTATTTTTATTCATTGGTGTACAACAACAAAAACAGGGAAATAAACAAGGTGTTTTTTTAACCATTATTGACCATTCTTGTACAAATTTCAAAGCAACACAACAGATTTTCCAACACGGTTTTAGTTTTGAAATACTGATCAAGTGGTCTAGCAATCTTCATATGTGTGTGACTACTTAAGTAGAATGCGCATAGTTACTTAAATAAGTAAAGATTATTAGTTTAGGAAAAATTTAAGAGAAGAATTTACCGATACGCCAGCAGGAGGATCACGATAACCAGTTAGAAGTGCAAAAACATAGTTCTGACCATTGTGACGGGCCTGAAAATGTGGAAGGTAAAAACCATTCTTGTATAAAAACAACGGGAAATCAAATGACATTACTAGCAAATTACAGTCATTACTTTGGTAATAAGACTTAAATCGGGAGGATAGGCTCCTCCATTAGCAAACCTAGCAGCTGCTTCATTTGCATATGGCTGAGGAAAACGGTCACTGAGTTTACCAGGGCGTGCGAACATCTCACCCTCATCGTTAGGGCCATCAGCCACCTCAATCTCAGCTGCCATAGCCTTTACCTCTTCTTCAGTGTAAGCAACACCAACCAAATCACGGTATGATATTAAAGACATAGAATGACAGGAAGCACAGACTTCTTGATAAACTTGATGACCACGACGAATCCTGCTCATAAAAAGTAGTTAAATGTATTAAGATCTCAATTAGCATTAAAAATTATAGTATTCATGTAAAAAATTGATTTGAACATAAAATGGAAGCATAGAGCAAAATGAAAACTTAACATATTATGAATCTTGGCTCAGAAAAATGCCCTAAAAGAGACGGGGGAGGGGGAGGGGGAGGGGGAGGGTGAGGGGGGCCCTATATTTCAGGATTTTGAATTGCAACTGTTGCTTGTAGGAAATTACATTCTTGCAATCATTGTATGATATTTTTTAGATTAAATAATGCATGATAAATGTTACTAATCAGCCTATGTACAGACAAGATGTATACTACGTTAGTTGACATGTCACCTTGAAGACATGAAATGACTGATCCAAGGTTGTGTAAATGTAAAATGATATTAAGTACAAAATGACAAACAACTGAAACCAAACATGTATCTATAATTAATAATTACTTGCAATTCACATTTAAATTGCAACAAGGACTAGTTTGACTGGACACAGTTGCTAACTTGGCAAATGATATTGTTGACTCAAAAGGATAGAAAGGAAAATATAGGAAATTTTCAGGTTGAACTCACGAAGCATGATCATATGAACTGAGGATGCCCTTGTGAGGCCATGGATAGTTTGGACATGCTAGGCCATGCTCAGCTTCATCAGCTGATGCTGTTGTAGCAAAGCTCAAAAACCCTGACACACCAGCTCCAATTAATGCTATCGCTCTAAAGGAGCTGCTGCCAGTAGAGCCAGCACCATCTTTCTTTGTGATAATTGATGACACAAAAGAAGAATTCTGCAACAAGTATAAAGCAGCAATTAACAAAAGGCACAATTGGATTATTCCATGGGAGGTAAATTGTTATGAACTATAACATTTTTTGACACATAAGTATGTATTTCCACCACACCGGTTTGGATAATGGTCTTTCTCAATGTCAAAAATGACTATTAACTATGAGCCTATAATGGAAGATAGCTCTCCTTAATTCAAATTGATTATTAGATCCAAGTCCTCCAAAGTCCTATTAAGAGGGAATAATTAAAGCTAGGTCACAGACAAATCAGTCCAAATGACTTCTAAGTATTCTTTGTACCAAAAATGATTAGGAGCATTATTGGATGACATATTTGTATTTACTTGTGATTTAATTTTGATTAATATTATGAAAGGTTTTATGGTGCCAGTGAACCATATGAAACCACCTGAATTATTATAAAATTATCCAGCAAGTGAAAAAACTTGGTTACAACAATGAATGCAATTTACCATTAATGTAAAAAGTTTTACACTGACATATGGATGAGACAAACTGTTAATGTAACTTTGAATTAAGTAGCTGTTAAATAGTAAGTTGGCAACAATTTAAAATCAAGGGTTTTTAAAGTTTTTAAGTATAAAATAGAAAGCAGTGTAAAACTGCAAGAGTACAATATGCTTCTAGAATAGCTACACCAAGACATATACTGGTGACAATGGTTAATACTCATAAATGCAACACTAAAGCAAGGGAGACTTATAAAAGTAGGGAAAACACAGAATTTTCAAAAGCATCATAGTCAGCACAATCATATTATCAATCCATGTCATAAAAGATTCGATGATTTTATATGTTTGCTGCTAAAAGCATAACATAATTCTTATCTTAGGAAGGTTTGGAAGATAAAGGAAGCACAGCATAGGCAAAGTTAGATCAAGTGAACCACATTAAAAAAGATGACAAGATGAAAATGTTTTGGTAACTATGCAAGATTTCAAGAAAAGACGGATGATTTATTTCTATAACCTACTCAATGAAGGGCATAAAACAGTAAAAGAGTTTGAGAGTTTAATCATAAAAAAAGATAGTCAAAAGTAAACATTTAAAATAGAATTCAAGAATTTCAAGTAAATGATTAAAAGGAAGGGATAAAGAAGATGACGGACAATGGTAAAGCAATTGAACCAGTTAATAAACTTTCCAAATTTTGAAGTGTTTAGATGGGAAGGGTTATAACATAGCTTACCAAGTTGATCAAAAAGAACATGAGATCCAAGAAAATGCTAGAGGAAAAGAAAAAAATTTACAAGAATAAAGGGCACATACAAAATTGGGCAAACTATTTAAAGATCAAGCTCATAAGCCAAAGTGAGACTATGGTAAAGTGGAAAGTTCTAAATTGCAATTCATGATAGTGGCAGAAGAGCTACACAAATCTCCAGGTGACATGGTTGTGGTGACCATTGCAACTGACATATTGTATTGTAGCTGCATTATGTGATGCAGACTTTGAGACTTAAAATCCTTGGTAAAGGGTATTTGATAACAAATTTGGCTAAGATATCCGGATGCTAGAAAACCAATTTTGTTTTTATTCCAAGGACATCAACCAAGGAGGTTATATATATTTGATTGAAAATTTCAAAAGGAAACAAGAATATTTTCACATATTCGTTTTTTAGAGGGCAATGGAAGATATAAATTCATGCAAATTAAAAATACAATTGCAAGTAAGAAGTGAGTCAGCAATTCTGCTCAAGAATATTATTTATGCACCCAATTGACCCAGCACAATACTAATTTGAGTGCTCACATTACACACAATTTTGACAGCTCAATCACAAATAGATCAAAAGTCTAATCCTCATCCGTTTTCTGCAACTTGTTCAAAGCTCAGCCATTACATTAAGTTCTGTATCCATCAAGTCCAGCATGTTGACCAGCACATCAAGACATCAACCCGTTGTCCTTTTGTTGTGACTATGTCTGTGAACCCAATATCCATCATGATGAATCTGGCATTGTCATCCAGTCATGAAGAAGCAACAATGTCTGCAAGGTAGATGATTTTACACAACTTGAAAGACAAATTGAAGTCTAGTTCTTTCAAACTCCAGGTCTATTGCAAACACAAGTTCTGTTTGTGTTCTGTTCTTTCAGCTTCAGAACTGCTATTCTATTCTTTTTGTTTGTTTTTAAAAGTATGTAAATAACCTAAGTAAAATATCGGAGGTGAGAGGATATGGACTAAGGTCAAGGGCAGAGCTAGAATTTTTATTTTAAGGGGAGTAAGACCAATAGTACATTAACTTTAAGTGAAGAAAAAATTCACTAACATATGCAAAATATATGTAGCATATTTGATATGTAACTAACATAATACATAGTAGTCAATAACAGTAACAGCATGGTGCAGTCAACCCCAAAAATGCTATAGCAAAATAGTGGATAGCGGGATGACTGCTGTTTTTGAAACTTTAAAATACATCAAATATAAATTATGGTACTCATATTTGCTGAAGATTTCAAATTTCAATCATTTGAAGGGTTTCTTCAAAGTTAGAATAGAACAGAGAAGAAAAATAGAACAAAATAGAGTGATCTCACCGGAAAAAGCCCCCAAACAGATGGTCTTGCCAAAAAATGTGAGTCTTGTTGGAAATGAAGATGATTATAATTTGGCTGGATATAATGTATAGTCATATTTTGGTTGGGAAGTAGCCCCTAACGCAAATGGGTCATATCAGAAATGAGTGGATATGAGGAAGATAACTGGAACTTGGCCAGAAAAGAACTTCAGCTACTGTGAAGCTTGTTGTAAGAAGCAGAAGTTGCTGAAGATGGTGAATAGGAGCACTTAGGGTTCAAGAGTACTGAGTTTGAATGATACAACGACATGCAGAAATTGACAATGTAAAGGGGGAGCAAAATTCCAAATTTGCCCCCCTTAAAGCTTTCTAATGTTAAGAAAACAAGGGTAAATTTGACATTTTTGTCGTGCATCAAATAGCAGCCATGAGAACCACGATTTTTTTTTTTATTTTGGTCATGATTCGCGCTGCTCCCGCCACTACACTGAACCGTTATATATGCACTTGGAATAGCGGCAGGAAGCTGCTCCGCTACGCCACGATAGCGGCCTCTACTGACTACTATGCATAATATACATACAAACTACTTCAATATAATGATCAAGTATATATACCTTTACCTTATGTTATTCAACAACCCTTTTAACATGATTAATTTCCAAATTTAAAGTTGATATGGCTTGTGTTTATTTCTCTGTTTTCGTAAAAGACGAGTTAATAAGTTTTTGCTTATACATCTTTCAACTTGAAAAAACTATATGAATAAATAAATTATAAAAATTGATATCACTCCATTTCACATTTTAACATACTCAACCCAGATTTAAAAATAATAAATAAAAAAATTCAAAGTAACACTTAAGAGATTAGTGGCAAAAGAAGTGAGTAAAAATTCACTATATACTTGTATCATAGCAATAAATAAGCAATTTGAATCACAACATACACCACCCTTTCCTAATAAAAAATGACAAAAATAAATAAGACAATCTTTAGTGCCTCACCCCAACAAGCCAGAGATGAGGAAGAAGCTAAATATAATAAACGAACATTGTTGACTTGATGTGGGCAACTTTGGTTTCTTTTTTGATTTTTTATTTATTAAAGTAATAAACTATTAACTCTTGGAGGAGACACCAGACCCTTCTCATGAACTTATGAGAAAGAATGCCTAGCTGTGGGAAAGGCTACACAGCTATACATTGAGTCATGAGAAACAAATAGCAACTTGTGAAAAGAGAAATTTTACTTGATGCATTGTCACACACTATGATACAATGGTACACGGATAAATATACAAAGCTAAACAAACTATTAATTAGAGTAACCAAACTGAAACTACTTAACCAATAAATTAACTGACTAATAACAGAATCATTATTATCCTATAATAAAACATAAGAAGCCTTTTGAAGAATAACTTTTTGGGGGGTGCCATAACTTTTCTATATCATATTGAAAAGGTCAAAATTTTGGGGGTGACTGTGGCAATAGTTGGTCACCCCAATCCCTCTGCCTCTGACTAAGGTATTGTTGTTTGACATAGAATACATTTTGGATGAGCACCATTATATCTTTATATAAAGCATTTTGTGTTGCAATTCATAACTATAGTTGGATAAATTTTAATAAACGTTATGGAGATCCTCTAAACCATATTTAGGTATAAGGTAACCATTGAAGATTTAATAAGCATTCTGGAAGAGTTTTTTTTTTTTTTTTTTCCTTCTTAAGATTTATCTTTCCTTGTCTATCATCAAATGCTCATTTAAGACTTTGAAAGATCTACAAGTTTGTCAACTACAAACATTTTAGTTTCAATTAAAGATTGGTGTATTCAAAATTTTAAATGTTTTGAATGAGTGTTAAGGCTATGGTGCAGTAAATTCCATCTGACTCTTAAAAAATTGATAAATCTTTTACAATTTAGGAACAATGATATGATGATAGAGGTAATCTTTTTAAACAGTACCGTAACATTAATCTAAAAAACTAAAAAATATAGCTAAAATAAGCAATTATAAGAAAAGATAAATAATCAGCTCTAACATCTTCCACAGAAACCAATCCATTTGTACAACATTTTTTTCTTTTCCCAACCACAAATTTGGTCTAAGAGTCCCAAGCTGCACGGACCAGAAATACAAAAGAATAAAATTATCATGAAGAGAGTTAATGCTTACAGGAGAATGAAATTGGAGTTTCCTCCTCAACAATTGCTGAATAACACCTCCAGCCATCTCAGTTCACACTGACAATCATTCATATAAAAAATATATCAGTCAAGAAAATAAATACATTGACCAAGTATAATCGGTAAAGTTAAATAAATATGGACAACGACAATGATAAAGACAACATCACAAAATAAGTGAAAATTGCAATAAGTAAAAAATAACAACTGTTTCTGCAATGAAGTGTCATAAAAATTGAACCCTAAAATGAAAATTGCAAGGAAAAATGCTAGCAAACTCCATATTTTCTATTATGGTGAAGAGAAATCACTTTATACATTCTATACACTAATACATAGTCTAATTATTGGTTTAACATATATTGACAACAAGAATGATGAAGAAATTGATACAATAAACGACGGGATAAGAATGGACACAAAGACAGAGAGGATAATCTTAGAACTTTATGCATAATATACACTAAGTAAATTTTACAGTTTGTTAACATAAGTCCCTAGGGTTGATTTTAAATAACTAAAAGTGAAAATAATAATTTGAAAAGAAACTGCATATTACATTGAAGACACAAAAAGTATGATAAATGATTTCTTTTTCAATGAAAACGTTATACTTTTAGTAGCTTAAAATCAATCCCAAGAATTGATGTTAACAAAACTGTAAATTTTATATATGTTCTTTGAAACTCCAAAATATGATATGATGATTGTCCATGTCACTGACCAATGGATCTGATAGTACCTTAACCCATTAAGAGAGAACTTTTATCAGCCCATAGGACAATAGATAATTAGATATCATTAAAACTCTATAAGGACAGATATCATGCAAAGGCTTTTGCTCCTAAATAGTTTTAATCCACACATTTCTTGAATCAATAGATTATGCAACCATTATGATAGTAGCTTTGACAATTATCATGTGAAGCATATCGAAACTAAATTTTAAAATAATACACACTCTTCATTGAGTTTACCCCAAATTTTAAACAACATTTCTCATACTAAAACACCTTTTGTATGTGTGTTCAAGTGGTCATCAAGGGTCCTACTACATACCAATGACTTGTAAAAAAAAATACAATTATGAATAATGCATAGTAGTTTGAAAAGAGGATGGTGCATTGCACAGCCCAAACGGCATCACAAGAAATTTGTAATGACCTTGGTCTGGGCAGAATGCAGTCTTACATCATCTTCCCTCATTAAAATTTGATAATAACTGTTTATCTGATCCAATTTAGAAAATCAACCCATCCCACCTAATTCATCCGGAAGTTCATCCAGTGCTGGAATGGGAAATCAATCTTTTATAGCAATGGCATTGAGTGCTCAATAATCAACAAAAATCTCCATGTACCATCTTTCTTTTTCAACAAAAAGGACTGGAGGAAAAGGGACTGTTACTATGTCAAATGACACCCATGTTGCAAAATTTCTTCAATAGGGTTTTGAAAAAGATCACAATAATGCTGTAGTAACACTATGATCTGAGCACTGGAATGAAGGGGACTATCCATTGTGATAGATTTGGAGCACCCTGCTATGATAAAAGGCACAAGGGGGAAAAATGAGCTTCCAAAAATGTAACCCAGCCATGATCTGATTTGGCACTGGCCATTCTGAAACATCCACTAAAACCATCCGAGAGCCAGCCAATCCATGTAAAAAGAAGCTACAGGGTTGTAAACTTCTTTCAACGTGTCATGGTACTCAAAGAAGTAGTTATCTTGAATATCCATCGTAAAGGTTCTGTTCAGACCTGGATACATATAACTTCACATGGTATCAGGATGTCACTTCATCATGGTGAGATTGCTCTAAGGGCGACAGTGCTGGAAAAGGGATTCCAATATGGACAGCTTTTGAGGTGTCTCCAGTGCAGTAACCTTGGCCAAAAGCTCATCCATAATGTTCTGACTGTTAGTCAGAATGGTTTGATTCACAGTGAGCACAACATCTTCCTCCAAGGAATCTATATTAGCCTGGGATCATGTGTTGTTTGCCATGGTGTCTCTCAATGAAAGCACCAACTGCTTAGGCGTCAAGATATTTCTTCCCTGAATTCAAAGACTGGGACCTACTAGAAGAGCGACAAATTCTTCACCCGACTCTCACTCTTACACACAAGATTTTATAACAATAACAGTGTCCAACGCCACAATGTAATAACAGAAAAAAGAAAATGGCAAAACGCAATTAACGCACCCTGCACTCCCCTAAATCTACACTAGCCAATACTATTGAGCCAGCACACAATTACATAATCTAACTACTTAGTGAACATAATCTTCCATACACTTAGGTTGCTATATCTTCTCTTAGCCCACTAATTTCTTGGTCCATTGAACATAACACTACCACTCTCACACACACTATTTACAAGTAATCGTTATAGTTTAAATTAAATAGATCACGTGCACAAATTGTGTTTTTAGTACCAAATATGCTTTAAAAAAAATACAGTGGCAAAAACAGAAAAGGCAGCAACCACATAAATCCACATCACCAACACATTCACACGAAATCTGAATCGGGCAAATAACAGAAAGTAAAATAGATGTTAAATAGTTACACGTGCAAAGCAAATACATGATAATTGAAAACCCTATCATTCGAAAGTCATAGATCCGAGTCTTCAGTGATAACTCAACATTTAGAGAATAATGAGGAAGAGAGAGAGATGAAGAGAAAAGGGGAAGTGGACTCACGAAATGGAAGCGAGAGAACGAGGAGAAAGCGAAGGAGAAGGAGCCAGACAGAGAGAAGTTCGCCGATACAAGAGGGAGATTTGGGACACGCTTTTATCATAGTCGCCACAGAATACCACTGGGCTTTTGGGCTTCATTGACGGGCTTTCTTATCAATGCCCCTAAGCCCACTTTTAAAAAGCTTTATTGACCGCTGTCATTCCCATACTTGAAAGCCCACTTTAAAAATTAACCTGAAAGTGAGTGATTAAAACATTTTTCTATTTGTAAACAATTTAAAGTTAAAATATTTTACTATTAGTATAATCATAAAATTAAAAAAATTAAATAAAAAAGTGATAATAAATCTTAAAAATAAGAATACATACACTCTTTTAATAATATTTAATATTTTTTTTACTTTTTTATCTTTCTTTTTTATTACGATTTAAACATATAAAAAAGAGTATAATTCAAAATATTAATTTATTAAATGAAAAGTTTCACAACTTAAAAGCTAACTACATTGACCATATTTTACTCAACATTAGATTCATAATACGTGAAAGTTAATATTCACACTTTTTCTTTTTTGATTTTAACATCCTGTGGTAGTTTTTTTTAATCTTAACTCTCCATGAAGTATCAATTGTATTAAGGACAGAAAGAAAAATTAACCTAAAAGATTAATTTAATAAGGAAGAATAATGTGAGTTAAAAATTACATTTAAGATAGTGTTTTATTCGATATAAAATTTATAATAACTTTTTATTACATCACATTATTTATTATATCTATTATTTTTCTTTATTTTCCTTTTATCTCTCTCTAAATGTACAAACCTAAAAATATACCCAATTACCATTTTCCTTTATGATAAAAAAAAAGTGTGTTTACGGGGAAAAAAACTTCCCAGATTAGGTGACTTACAGACCGTGTTCAATCTTTTCTTAAATTTAAATTAATATTTTATATTAAAATTTTATTTAAAAATTAATAAAAATTAAAATATGTTATATTATTAATTTATATAAATTAAGATAAATACAAAATGGTTGAATAAAAAATATAATTATAAAATATAACAACATTTAACTTTTATATTTTTATTTATATATTTTATTTTCTTCAAAAATATAAACAAATCAATAATATATCGCATTTTTCTTTACATTTATATTAATTAATGGTTAAAATTTTAAATAAAATAGTTATTTGAATCGTTAAAAGTTATAAAAATTAAATATAAATAATTAAACTAAAATATTGAAATTATATATAAACTAAAATATAAGATTTAAAATATAATTAAACCATTAAAAATAACTATTAAAATGAATAAGTGCATTAAACCAATCAAGAGACTAAAAAGTAATCATTGTTAACTCTAGATATTTAGTTTATTCATTAAATAATTACTATTTATTACATAACTATTAAATATTAAAAAAGTTAAAATAAATAAAAGATAAATAAAGGTTTAATACCAATGTAAAGGTTTGGAATATTTTATATTTAAAATAAATAAATATGAAGCTTAAAATATCTTATGTAAAATTTTAAAATTGTTTTTTTAACACATAAATTATATAAAAATGGTGTGATTTATAGTTTTTACATAAGTCACATCATTTTAGAGTGAATTATATTTTATTAGGGAATAAGCACACTTTGATTAATGTGAACACATTATGTACTTAAGCATAAATAGCACAATGCACCTTAAAGATAAGTTGTGTCACTCTCAAGTATCTTAAATTGTTTTTTATTGTAATAAAAATTTATGTAAATTATGAGCAATGAAAGATGAAAGTGTTAAGTAACTCCAAATTTTATATGCATTCTTTGTTGATAGAGTCCAAGAATATATTTGAAGTTATTCGTTTTTGTTTTTATTATCTGCATTTTTATTCTATTACCTATGACTAAGAAAAGTTATTAGTGTGTGGTTAATTGGGTGTTTTATTTTATTTTATTTTTCTATTTTGCTATCCATGTTTACACTTTTAGGAGTATAATGTTAGGATGTTAGATAACTAGCTACTTTCTAGGTAATCTGTTGTATAGCCGAGTCTATAAAACTTGGCCTTTTCATTTATCAAATAACATGGAATGACAATACAAAATAATATTCAACTATTCTAGTTGTTCTTTGTGAGTTAACATTTGGCATCATAGTTAGGTAGGGTTTCTAGTAGAAGAAAGCAACAAACTTCAACCATGGCAAAGAGCAACTTCGTTCAACCTGCAATTCCAAAACTGAATAAGCATTATGATCATTGGGCAATGCTCATGGATAATTTCTTGAGGTCTAAAGAGTATTGGAATCTTATAAATTTAGAGATTCCTCAACATGTAGCCGATGCTGTATTGACGGAGAATGAGAAGAAAAATTTGGAGGATCTTAAGTTAAAAGTTTTGAAGGTAAAAAATTACTTGTTTCAAGCAATTGACCGAGCTGTGCTTGAAATGATTTTAAAGAAAGGAACATTTAATGAGATTTGGGATTCTTTGAAATAGAAATATCAGGGCATTGCCAAAGTAAAGCGAGGACAGCTTTAAGCCCTATGACATGATTGGGAGATTTTGCAAATGAAGAACGGATAATCAGTTTATGATTATTTTTCTTGAACTCTTACAATTGCAAACAAGATAAATATATGTGATTAACAAGTGTTTGATCTTAACGTGGTTGAAAAGATTCTTCGCTCAATGACCTCTAGGTATAACTATGTAGTATGTTCTATTGAATAATATCAAAATTTAGATTTCATGACTGTAGATAGCTACAAAGTAGCCTGTTAGTACACAAGCAACTAATAAAAGACCAAAATTTACATAAAGAGCAAGTATTGAAGGTTGTATAGGATGAGACAAGTGCTGGACGAGGTTGAAGAAGAGGTATTTCTCGAGGTAGAGCTCCACATGGAAGAGGTAGAGGTAGAGGAGATAGACAACTGGTGGATAAGGCTACAATAGAATGTTATTACTGCCATGATTTTGAACATTTCCAACATGAATGTCTAAAGAAACCCCAAGGTAACTATAAGGTATCAGGCTTAGAGGATAATAGAAGAAGAATGAAGAAGGAACAAGAGAAGGTATATAGTATTATTGATATGATCTTATTATGTATATTTACAATGAAAGGATGCAATATATATTTATATACAGATTACAAATGAACAAGAAAACAAACCAGAGAATTGGATAACTGAATTAACTAATTCCTAACTGCTATAACTACTTTCCTTTACACTCCCCCTCAAACTCAGGTGAAGGCTTAGCTGAAACATTGAGTTTGAAACAGAATTGATGAAATAACGAAGAAGAAACAACTTTTGTAAAAATATCAGCCACTTGAGAAGTTGTAGGAATGTGAATAACTGAAACTTGGGATTGGGATACCTTTTCCCTAACAAAGTGTAAATCAAGCTTAAAGTGTTTTGTCCTAGAATGTAAAATAGGATTAGCTGTGAGAAGAACCACATTAAGGTTATCACAAAATATTGGTGGGGGATCCAAAGGGAGAGATACTTGGAGTTCATGGAGTAAAGTCTTCAGCCAAACGAGTTAAGTGATGGTCATCGCAATACTTCTGTATTCAGCTTCTGTACAAAACCTCGAAACCACTGATTGTTTCTTAGTTGTCCAAGAGATTAAGTTGTGCCCAAGGTAAATACACATACCAGATTTTGATTTTGTATCATCGGGATCAAATGCCCATTCTGAATCAGAATAAGTATAGAGTTGTAAATGAGTGGATGGTTGAAGATGTAGACCATGACTTAAGGTTTCGTGTAAGTATTGCAAAATCCTTTTTACTGCTTTCCAATGAAAGTGAAGTGAATTTTGCATGAATTGACAAACTTTATTCATACACTAAGCAATATTTGGCCTACTAAAGGTTGCATACTGAAGAGCTCTAACTGTAGACCTGTACAGCAAAGGGTCAAAAAAATGTGTTCCTTCATGGGCTGAGAGCTTAAGACCAAATGTCATGGGAGTAGATGTGAATTTGCAATCTCTCATCTTTGTTTGTTATAACAGGTCTGCAATGTATTTGGTTTGCGAAAGAAATAGACCACCTTTCTTTGTTTTTGTTGCTTCTATGCGAGAACTGTTATTGTACTGGCCGCCATGAAGAGATGGAACATTTATCAGCTTGATATTAAATCGACTTTCTTGCATGAATCAATCAATGAAGGTATCTAACTAGAGCAGCCACCAGGTTATGTATTCCAGGGACGTGAACATCAAGTATACAAGCTCAAAAAGGCCTTATATAGCCTTAAACGGGCTCCGAGAGCTTGGTACAATAGATTGAAATCTCATGTTACAACTAATGATTTTGTGAAATATTCATATGAATAGACCCTATTTTAAAAAAGAAGCACAAAGGTGAAACTTTAATTGTGTGTTTATATAGATAATCTCATATATACTAGTAACGATGAGCTGATGTTTCAAGAGTTTAAGATTATGATGATGAATGAGTTTGCAGAGACTGACTTAGGCAAGATGAGATTTTTTTGGGTATTGAAATTTTGTAAGGTTGCAATGGAGTTTTTATTGGACAAAAAAAGTACATTAAGGATATGTTGAACATATTTGATATGTTTGATCATAATCCATTAAAGAGTCTTATAGTTTCAAGTATTAAGTTGCTGAAAGCGAACAAAGGAGTGGAGGTTGATAACACTCTATTCAAACAACTTGTAGGAAGCTTTATGTACCTTATAGCTACAAGATCAGACATTGCACATTCTGTTGGTCTAATCAATCGCTTTATGGAGTACCCAAAGGAGAGTCATTTCCTGACTGCAAAGTGGATTCTGAGATATTTACAAGGCACTCAGAATCTGGGAATTTTCTATAAGGCTGGTGCAAATCAAGAACTATTCACTTATACTAACAGTGATTATGCAGGAGATCTTGAAGACAGAAAGAGCACATCTAGTTATACTTTTTTGTTAGGTAGTGGTGTGATTTCTTAGGCGTCAAAGAAACAACTTATGGTTAGCCTATCCACAACTGAAGCTGAGTTTATAGCAGCAGCATTATGTGCGTGTTAGTGTATTTGGATAAGAAGGGTTTTGAAATATCTAGACTATTGCTAGGAAGGAGTTACTATGATATTTTGTGATAATATTTCTATAATTAAGTTATTCAAAAATTCAGTATTACATGGAAGAATTAAGCATATTAATTTTAGATTCCACTTCTTGAGAGATTTATGCAATGATGGTGTTATTAAGCTAGATTACTACAGTATAAAAGATCAATTAGCAAATATCACGACAAAGTTGCTTAAAGTTAAATGTTCATGCTAAAGATACAATAGTCTTCAATTATCTCTTCTTCTGTCTTACGTTGTGACATCCTCGTAGATATGTCAAATCCTCTTTATATGACATGGGGAGAGTACTTGCAAAAGGCACTATGATGATAAAGTTAGGTGTCAGTTTCGACAATAATTGCAATTTACTATTCAGAAGTTAACTATTTACCTATACTTCTTACTTTCTTTTTATAGGCAATATTTTAGGCTAATAGGCTTCATGACTTAGCCCTGTCTTAAGCCTTTTGTTTAAGTAGATAATTAATGATTATCTACCTTAATCTGTTTAATCATCTCTAATTTATCTTAATTTGACTAGAGGGGTGTTCGTCTTTTTAGGTCGAAGGGGTATTCAAATTCCTTCTTTCGTCATAGTGATTGAGTAGGATATCTTATTTAGTACACTAGTCCCTCAAGCCCGAGGAAGTATGACATAAGGGTTTATTTAGATCTACTGAACTTGGTAATGTGACCGATAGGGTACTCGATTTAAAATCTGTTAGTGTTAGGCCAAAGGAGTATTTGAATTTCTATCAGAAAAGGATCAAATTATCTTGCGTATTTTTGCCTTCTAAGCCTTATGATATGTCGGCATTTTAGAGTTTCAGTAGATTAGAATTTCCTCGTAGGTCGTGCTTTGAAATGAAAGGTTACTCGTTTATACCCGTTGATCTGGAAGAGATCTGATGGTTAAAAGAGGGGTGTAACCCTTCATTTGCCTAAAAGCGTATGTTCTATAAATAGGTGGTAGTCTAGGTATCATGTACGCTTTTCTACTATGCACTAAGGGGTATATTTGCTAATTTGTTGGAAGTTTTCTCCCTTCTAGACTTTAAGGTATGTTTGTCTTGCTTTGCTTTTTTCTTCTCCTTTTATTCTTTTATGGCCGATTCAATCGAGTGGGGGACTCTTTATCGGACTAATCAAGGTCAAATATTGTTTATGATAGGTAGGGGATTTGAGTGAGACTGAGAGGGTTGAGGGTGTTTCTTCTTGGCTAATTGATATTATAAACGATCCGGATACGACTGTTAGAGATTCTGGAGATGAAGCCGAATTGTCTAACGCCGATGAGGAAGGCCTTGAGTCAGGCAAGTCGCTGCTGAACGCTAGCAAGTCCATTCCCCATATTGCAAGGGGCCAAGGTGAGATGATCGGATAAAGGTTGTCAGCATGTTGATGTATATGTGGACCATGTTATTGACAAAGGATACATTTTTTCGACAAAAAGCTCACAGTCTTTGGATAAGGTCAGCCAATAGTATCCAACTCTCAATACCTTTGTTGCCATTGTTCATCCCTCCGAGTGAGTACCGTAAATACCTTCATGAATTTCTCTCATCACATAATTGGCTTGTTCTTCATCGAGACACTTCAACATAGGAGTTGAAACTCCTCTGTTGTACAACTCACCGTTGAAAAAGGGTATATTTAGCTGCTTGCATTCGAATTCGTTTAGCCTAAACCAGATCATCTGGGAGTTTGTTGCTAACAAGATATTGAATGATTGCAGTCATCCAATTCTGAGGGGTGCCTTCCACTTCCATACATTCATGACCCCAAATGCTAGGCTTATGAATTTCTTGTTGAATAACACTTTGGAGCTGCCTGAGCTTTTGATGACTAGCCAATTTTGCAAGTCTATCGGCTTGTATATTGGAGTTTCTCGGTGTATGTTGGACGTACAGGTCATCAAACTTGGATTGTAGTCGTTTGAACTCTTGGTAATACTGTAGCATAATAAGGTCTTTTCACCCCGATTTCCTTTGCTAATTTGAGTCCTGCCAGAAGTGCCTTATACTCGGATTGGTTGTTGGAAGCTTTGAACCCGAAACGGATTAATTGTTCTAATATCACTTTATTTGGTCCTTCCAAAATGACTCCTGCACCACTACCTCGTGTGTTTGAGAATCTGTCTACATGCAAGTTCCATATGTCGGCTTTTGGCTTTTCGGTTGGATGGAGTTCATTGACAAAATCTGCAAGAATTTGAGCTTTAAGAGGTCCTCTAGTTTTGAAACGGATGTCGTGTTGGGATAACTCCACAACCCAAGTCATCATTCGTTCTACTAACTCGAGTTTTTGGACTATTTTTGCTATATGTCAGTCAGTTCGTACTACTACAGGGTGACTTTGGAAATAGTGTCCTAAGCGTCTAGCTGTATGAACTAGGGCTAGGACTGCTTTCACCATTACCTGATACCTAGACTCTACATCTTGTAATGTTTAGCTGACAAAATATACTGGCACCTGTTCTGGTATTTCCTGTAATAATACTGAACTGATGGCTTTCTCTGATACTGCTAAGTAGACAATCATTTCCAAGTGAGGCCTTGGTTTTATTAGGACTGAAGGGATCGCTAACAGGGGTTTGAACTGCAAAGGCGATTTCACACTCACCGGACCATTCAAACTTTTGAATCTTTTTTAATAGATCCGAGAAAGGTCGGGTTTTTCAGCAATTCTTGGAAGAAACCTAGATAATGCAGCTATTCGGCCAGTTAACCGTTGTACTTCCTTAGTATTATCGGGACTGCGCATATCTACAACTGCCTGACACTTGTCAGGGTTAGCTTGAATTCCTCGTTCGGATAGCATAAAGCCCAAGAATTTTCCTTTGGCTATCCCAAACATATATTTTTCTAGATCGAATCGCATCCCATAACGTTGTGCTTCAATAAAAACTTTAATCAGATGAGTTATGTGATCGCCAAGGGAAGCTGACTTCACTACCATATTTTTCACATAAACTTTCATACACCTTCCTATTTGATTAGTAAAAAATTTGTTCATTAGTCGTTCGTAGGTTGCCCTTGCATTTTTTAAATTGAAAGGCATAATTTTGTAAAAAAAAATTCACCGTATCAGTAATGAAAGCTGTTTTTCCTTCATCAGGTGGGTACATCCGAATCTGGTTGTATCCGGAATATGCATCGAGAAAGCTAAGTATCTTGTGGCCAACTGCTCCATCAACTAAAGTGTCTATATTGGGTAAATGTAAACATCTTTAGGGCATGCTTTGTTAAGGTCTGTGAAGTCGGTACACATCCTCCATCTTCCATTGACCTTTTTCACCATGACGATGTTAACTAACCACGTAGAGTACTGTACTTCTCGGATAAAGTTAGCTTTTAACAACTTATCAGTCTTTTCCCGAATTGCATGAGCTCGATCACCCCCTACTTTTTTTTTTTAGCGATTGATTTTGCATTTTTGTATATTAATAGGTGATGATAGAAAAAATTTAGGTCTATTCCAGTCATATCTACTGCTGTCCATGCAAACAGCTTGACATTGCTTAGCAATACCTTTTGAAGTGCTTGCTGTTTATTCAAGGATAGGCCTGTTCTGAGGTATGTGGTCTGTTTCGATTTTTTCCCTAGTTGAAAGGGTTTCTTATCTTCACTGGGTTCAACCCAAAATCCCTCATCTATTCTTGGGTCAAGTTCTACATCTAGTTCTACTTCTGATACGATGTTGACATCTCGGCTTGGCCCAGGGAAGGGTTTTAAACGCATACTTGCAAAATAACATTCTCTAGCCAGCTTCTGATCTGCATGGACTGTGATAATTCTGTCTCTATCAGACGAGAATTTCATAGCCAGGTGAAGAGTGAATACTATGGCCATCAACTTGTTGAGGGACGAACAATCGAGCAGTATATTATATGAGGTGCATGCATGTACCACTAGGTAAGTTACCTTGATTTGTCTTCCATCCAGCTTTAAACCGAACAGCGTATACAAATCAATGCAACCTCGAGTTTCCAATCAATGCAACCTTGATCCCCTTGAAAATCTCTATCGGTAAACGTGATGGGAGAGATCCGGATTCTACTTACCAATGATATGTGATTTACTGACTGAACATATCTTAAATGTCTTTTTCTGGCCGAGTTGGTGGATCTACCTCCAGCAAACCCACCTACTATGGTGTTAATAATTCTGCGAGGGTATTTCTCGCGCTCATCATGATGCTTGATAGGTGGTTCTCTTGATCTACTACGCTGTCATTTCGTTCTTCTATCATTGTATCTCCTTGATGGCTCGAACTAGTAGTCCCTACCCCTCTCAGCTGGCGTTTGTACAAATCTTTGATGATGCCCAGCTTTAATCAAATCTCAATGCGATCCTTTAGGGCTATATATTCTTCAGTGGTATGTCCCCTGTTTTGGGGGCCGCTCAACTCCACCTCTTCAGTCCTTGTTTTCTTTTTTTTTTTGAATGGTTCATTCCTATCACCCTCTTTTTGATTTGACCCCAGTTCCATTTGGACATGGCCTTGGTATTCGACCAACTCTTCCATTTGTATGTACTTAGCTGCTCGACTTCTCAATTCATCTAAGTCGATAGGTGGTTTTTTGCATATATTGTTGACAAAAAACCCTAGTTTTAAAGCTGTTGTAAGGTGGTGCATTGCGACTGCCGACTCCATGTTGTGGATTGATAGGGCCACCTTGCCAAAGCGTTGCATAAATGCTCTAAGTGTCTCTTTCTTTTCTTGATGAATATTAACTAATGCTAATGATGTCAATGGATGATGACGGCTTGTGGCGAACTACAAATTGAATCGTCTGGTAAGTGTTGTGAACGAATCGATGGACGAAGGGGCAACTTGGTAAACCAGTTGAGGGCTGGTCCACGAAGTGATGTGAGAAATATCTGACATAATAAGGCATCATTGTCTATGTATAGGTCAACTTGAGTTGTAAAGATATTCAAATGCTCTTCAAGGTCAGATGTTTCGTCATGCTTTTCCAGTGTTAAGCCCTTCCAATTCTCAGGTAACTTAGCTTCCATGATAAGCTGGGTGAAAAGGCTTCAACCCGACGTCCTATCTCGTTCCACAGGAGGAGTAGTCCTTGTTTGCTGGTATGTATTTGGCTTTTCCTGCAAAGTTGATGATTCTCCTTGCTCCTGGGCAAAAGGGGTAGTTTGAGAAGGTATGTAAATTCTGATCTCATCCTTCAAATTGGCATTCTCCCTCCTTAAGGCCAACAACTCAAGAGCGTTTTTTTCTTTTAATCATTGTATCTCCATCATTTCAGCCCTTAATTGTCTTACCATCGAAGAGATATTTTCATCCCCTCTCCTTTCAGCTAGAACCTCAGGTATAGGTTGGTTAGGCATGGTCTCCTTCTGCTGATGAGAAACTCCCTATTGCCAACTCTGTCCTTCATGTTGGCTCCTTATTAGTACCATAATTGATTGAAGTTAAAGCAATTCGGGCCCCATGGTGGGTGCCAAAATGTTTCTGCTAAGGATACTATAGTCTTCAATTATCTCTTCTTTTGTCCTACGTCGTGACGTCCTCATAGATATGTCAGATCCTCTTTATATGACGTAGGGAAGGTACCTGCAAAAGACACTCTGATGATAAAGTCAGGTGTTATTTTAGACAATAATTGTTATTTACTATTCAGAAGTCAACTTTTTACCTGTACTCTTTACTTTTTTTTTTTATAGACAATATTTTGGGCTAATGAGCTTCATGACTTAGCCTTATCTTAAGCCTTCCATTTAAGTAGATAATTAATGATTATCTACCTTAATCTGTTTAATCATCTCCAATTTATCTTAATTTGACTAGAGAGGTGTTCGTCTTTTTAGGCCGAAGGGATATTCGGATTCCTTCTTTCGTCGTAGTGGCCGAGTAGGATATCTTATCCAGTACATTGAGGATTTCCAATATCTGCGAGGTGCTATGGGCATGCTTGATGATTCTAGGATAAACTGCTGCAAGGAGCATACAGTTTAAGGAAGGGATTGTTGACTGAGTCCAATAACATATTTGAAGTTATTCAATTCTGTTTTTATTATCTGCATTTTTATTTTGTTACCTATGACTAGGAAATGTTGTTAGTGTGTGGTCAGTTGGCTATTTTTTTTATTTTTTTTTCTATTTTGCTATCCATGTTTACACGTTTAGGAAAGTAACATTAGTATATTAGATAGCTAACTACTTTCTAGGGAGTCCGTTGTACAACTTAATCTATAAAACTTGGCCTTTTCATTTATTAAATAACATGGACCGACAATACAAAATAATATTAAGCTATTCTAACTGTTCTTCATGAGTTAACATTCTTTAGCATTACTAGCATTACTTACTTTCATATAACTTGCCTTTTAAGGTGAAGAATAAAAGTGATAAGGTAGTGTGCACAAATTTTTGTTTTAAATTTTGATTAAATTGGAGCCTATATATTCAAACTTATTCATTATTATTCAAATTATATAAGCACCATTATAAGTCAACTATGCATGACTCCAAAAATCTTAGGTCCCACCTTCCCATCTTCAATCATAGACACAATCTTTTTAGAATAACTTTAGTTTAGGAATAACGCTTATGTATTCAAGTATGCACCCTTCCCAAACTTCAATCACATACACAATCTTTTTAGAATAACTTTAGTTTAGAAATAACGCTAATGTATTCAAGTAAGCACCCTAGTGCTTAGACATAAGTAAGTTGATGTGACTTATGTTCTATATAGTGATTAGGCATAAGTCACATAAGAGTGATGTAACTCATGTTGGATAGTGTGATTTATGTTGAGTACAAGACGTGTTTACTTTAACATAATATGTGCTCATCTTAAACATAATGAGTCATCCTAAGGTGGTGTAATTTATGTATAAATTATGAATCATACCTTATATGAGTTATGTATTAAAAAAAGACATGTTTTGAGATATAAAAAAAATATATTTAAAGTTTTATATTTTATTTTAAATTTGAAAAGATCTTAAAAGTTTATGTAAAAATAATTATTAATTAATAGCCAGAGAATACATAAATATTTTATTTTAAATTAGATATATGTAATTTGATGATTATAGATAAAAAAGAAATTGTATGATTAGTTGTAGTTGAGAGTGTATTTGTATGTATATGCATGTATGTAAACAAAATTATATTAAGAATTTAAAGTATATATAAAAAATAATATAATTATTCTTGCATTGAAAAATAAGTTCCTTAATAAACTAATGATAAATTTTGAATTAAATTTATTCATAAATATTATTAAAATTTAATATATATATTTTTTTAATCTTTTTGTCTTGAAAAAATTGCATATTTCTCTTGAAGGCTTTCTTAAGATAGAAAAATAACAAAATTACTATACAAAAATTATCATAAAAACTCTAAAATAAAATAAAAAATAGACCTTTTTAATAATGACCCTTGGCTCCACACTTTTCATAGCAACTACTCGAGTAAATATCTATAATATCAATTGTTATGACATAAATTAATGTTTAATATGAAGAAACAAAATGTACATATAAAAAAATAAATAAGTTAACACAATTATTATACAAAAATTAAAGTGAAAATTCTAAAATTAGATAAAAAAAACTCTTCATAAAATCATCCTTAGCCTTACGCTCTCTATAACAACTACAAAATATACATTTACAAGACCACTTATTATGATATAAACAAAAAGAGTAGTGTGAGAAAGAAGAAAAATACATAAATATAAGGAAAAGTGTCTTTAGTATCTTTCAGCTTTTTAAATTTGGTGCACAATTACTTATAATTTATCATAATAATTCATATTTTTATTATAATTAATTAAAGAAAATTCAAAAATAAAAATAAAAAATTAGATTGTACACAAATTTAAAACATTTGAACATGTAGTTTCATGTGTATTAACATTCTTCGTTTGATGTAAATAAAAATTTATCAAATTCTAGTTCTAACTAACTATGGACATGCCAATATGTGAAATTGATTTGTTTAAATCACTTAATTTAACATGAATAGAAGGTCTCATAGTTACAAACATGCCAAACTAATTTTAAATATTTGAGGCCTATTGATGGTGACTATAACACATCCTATTTCTTTTATTGGAAGAAGCTAAGGATGCCTTCCTTGGTTCTTTCTGCAGGAGCCCAACTTGGTTGAGGACCACCCTTTTTCCCGACAAGAAATGACATCTTCATTTGCAATCTTCAAATGTATTTTGTTTTTGCCTTGCTTTCTTTCCCTTGTTACAAATAATAATAATAATAATAATAATAATAATAATAATAATAATAATAATGTACGTCTCTAATAACATTTACGAATAGGAAATTTTATGAAATAAATTATGTCTATAAAATTTCATATAAATTAAAAAATTTGATAATTCATCACTTTCTTTTATTTTAACATATATTATGGTTTAGAATATAAAATTATATATTTACTTTTCATAATTTGCATAAAATTTTTGTACTCTTGATTCATATGCCATCAACCACACAGCGGTTCATTAGGAAAAAAGAAAATTAGATAAACGGTATCTATCTATCTATCTATATATACAGAGAGAGAGAGAGAGATAGTTGAATTTAATGGAGCCGCATGTATCATAACAATACATCAATAAAGTAAAAATGAAGCTTGTTTCCAATTTCTAAAAGGAACAGTTTGAACTTCTCTCTCTTTTAAAGATAACCAAAATAAACCTCAATCACAGGTCAATTACCATAACAATCCAGATTGAGAAAAAAAAAATGAGTTTAGGGATCTTGGAGAATGTAAACAATACACATCTTTGAGAAAAGAGAAAAAAAAAAAAGTAACTATATCTCACATACATGGAACAACTTTATTTCTATCTCAAACAAAAATAGAATACGCTTCAATAACTCAATCAACAAATTTGATATGATGAGGCAACTTAAGCATCTGACAAAATTATTGCCAACAATAATCTTTCTTGAAGTGAAAAATGAATGTTGAATGCAGCTAGTTGACAACATCAAGAACCAGCTTGCGAGACTTAAGAACAGACCATCGAAGGCGACGGTAATAGGCAGCTTGAAGTAATGCCAGTGATAGAATAAATATCCATTTAAATCCCATCTGCATATGGCAGCAATGTCTTTAGAAAATAAGATATTTTCTTTTTTATTTTGGCTTAATTTGGATAAACTTCTCGATAATTATTTAAAAAGAAAATAATTAAGTAATAATACAAATCAAACTCTTCCTACATGTAAAAATTAATTTATACTTCTTTATTTTTTGAAAGTTACTCTTATTTAACATTTTTAAAACCTGAAGGGGATAAATTATTTTTAATTTATGAGAAAATTTTTATTTTTATTTTATATTGTTTTTCTCATCTTGTAAAGACTGCACAAGCTCACACAAATAGGGCCTTTATAGAAATATGATTATGAAGGAAACAAACCAGTTTTCTCTCTTCCATTTCTGGTTCAGCAGCCCAAGACAAGAAAGACACAATGTCTTTACCCATCTGCAACAAAACATAATAGAAGAAAAAAACTTGCTTCATTCTTCCTAAGTTCATGGATACTCAATTGTTATAAGTTTACTGAAACCAGTCCTGACAAATAGAAGAACCTGAGATTCTGTAGCAGGGATTCCATCTTCATATTCAACAGCACCATCATTAAGCATTTTAGGCATGGCAATGGCCCCGCCAGGAAAATAAGGATTATAGTGTAGCCCTTCTCGAATCTACATTATTATTTAAAGATAACCATAAACAAAATTTTCACTTTGAGCACAATATTAGCACACCTAGGCATGGCCTACACAATATTGACACAGTATAGGAATTGGGGACCAATTAATCATGAAATTGCATCAAACATTTTGATTCAACAAGAATTAGAATGTTAAGAAAGTATAATGAAATCCATCACTCATTATTTAGATCATGATGATAACTGGAGTCACATATTATAAGTATGCAAAGAAACATTAACCATTATGTGTTAAGTGTTAAGAACTTTGTTTCACCTAGGAATAGCCTACAAAAAATACAAGAAGAAACTTTATGCAAAATTAAAAAAAATAAAATCACATGCATGATATAAAATGGTCTTAAACAATCCCGGACTCACCAAGCATGCAAACTTTTATTTATTGGTGTGCAAGAAAAAAGAAAATAGTAAAGGTAAAACTTTTTTAGCATTATTGATTGTGCTTGATCAAATTTCAAAGGTATGCAATAGATATTACAACATTGTTTGTTTTGGCTTTGAACCACCCATCAAGTGGTTTGGAAATCTTCATATATGACAAGTTTAATATGTAAAACTTACTAGTTTAGGGGGAAAAAAAAAAAACTGTACAGAAAAGAAATTACCGTAACACCAGCAGGAGCATCACGATAACCAGTTAGAAGTGCAAAAACATAGTTTTGACCATCATGACGAGCCTAAAAATATAAAGGGTAAAATTATTTTTGATATAAAAGTAGTAATGAGAAATCTAACGACATTACTAGCAGACCACAAAATCATTACTTTGGTAATAAGACTTAGATCAGGAGGATAGGCTCCTCCATTTGCAAACCTAGCAGCTGCTTCATTTGGATATGGCTGAGGAAAGCGATCACTGAGTTTACCAGGGCGTGTGAACATCTCACCCTCATCATTAGGGCCATCAGCCACCTCAATCTCAGCTGCCATAGCCTTAACCTCTTGTTCTGTATAAGCAACACCAACCAAATCACGGTATGATATCAATGACATAGAATGACAGGAAGCACAAACTTGTTGATAAACTTGATGACCACGACGAACCCTGCTCATAAAGAATTACATAAATGTATTAAGACCTCAATTATTATAAATATTTATATAGTATTTATGTATGAAGTTGATTTGAACAAATGATGACAGCATAGAGCAAAATGCATATTCAACATATCATGAATCTTAGCCTAGAAAAATACCTTAAAAGAAAATAAGAGAGGGGTACTTATATTTTGGAATTTGTAATTGCAACTGTTTCCTTTAGAAAATTACATTCTACTAATCATTGTATGAGTTTTTTATAGAATAATGAATAATAAATATTACTAATCAATATATGCTAAATAAGATTTAAAGCATGTTAAATCACATGTCACCTTAAAAACATATATTTATAAACTAAGCATATATCTATGATTAATAATTACTTGTAATTCACGTTTAAATTGCAACAGGGACTAGTTTAACTATACATATATAATTGCTAACTTGGCAAATGATATTTTTAAGTCAAAAGAATAGAAAGGAAAATATAGGAAAATTATAGGTTGAACTCACGAAGCATGATCGTATGAACTAAGGATGCCTTTGTGAGGCCATGGATAGCTTGGCACTGCCAGGCCATGCTCTGCTTCATCAGCTAATGCTGTTGTAGCAAAACACAAAAACCCTGAGACACCAGCTCCAATTAATGCCATTGCTCTAAAGGAGCTATTGCCTGTAGAGCCAGCACCATCTTTCTGTGTGATAATTGATGACATAAAAGAAAATTTCTGTAGTAAGTATAAAACAACTATAAGCCAAAAAACACAATTAGATTGTTCCATAGAAGGTAAATTGTTATACACTCAACAAAAAATTTTATATGCACAAGTATGTAATTCCACCACACCAATATGCATATTGGTTATTCCTACATGTCAAACAATGACTACAAACCTACAATGGAAGATAGATCCTATTATTTAAGACTTAGAAAGATGTACGATTTTATCAACTACAAACATTTTAGTTTCAATTAAAGATTGACATTGTTCGAGTATTTTGTGTGTGTAATATATGATGTGTTGTAGTCTGTTCTAAATATGAATCTTAAAAAGATGATAAATCTTTCACAAATTAGCAACAATGATACGGTGGTATACACAATTTTTTCAGAAGTATTGTAATATTAATCTAACACTAAACAATCCAACTCAAATAAGCTCTTATAAGAACTGATAAATAGTTAGCTCTAACATCTTCTAGAAAAACCAATGTGTTTGTATAATAGAATTTTATTTTTATTTTTCCAACCTCTAATTTTTGTTCCAAGGGTCTCCATTTTAAGTTCCAAGCTACATGACCAAAAAAGTATATACTGTAAAAAGTATAAAATTATGATAAAAAGGGGGGTTAATGCTTACAAGGAAATGAGATTGGAGTTTTCTCCTTAATAACTGCTGAATAACACCTCCAGCCATCCCAGTTTACACTGAAAATCATTTATATAAAAAAGATTACAAACAAGTAAATAAATGCAGCAACCAAGTATGATATAGTTCAACAAATATACATAACGACAACGATAAAGACATCATCATCAAATACGTGTGAATAGTAATAAGTAAAAATTATTAATTTCCTTTGCAATGAAGAATAATGAAAATTGAATCATAAAATGAAAATTGAAGGGATAAGGTAGGCAAAGTGAAAAAAATAGGATTACTACTCATGGATGCACTGTTTGAAAGTAATTGTTATAGACAAAAAAAAATAGCAACTTTAATTCAGTCTCGCCCACAAATTGTGTATTTTTAGGCCTTTTCAACACCAAATATATATGCCAAGACATGCATACATGAGCTATGTTATTTGAATCACTTTTTTAAACATCATACTTTTATACTTTATCATACTTATTTATATTTTTTTTCTAAACAAAAGTGGGGACATCATGCAGTGTCCCCTACAATGTCTCTCCAGTAGATGTCAATATCACATTTTTCAGCTTATAGGAGATGCAATATGGTGTCCCCAAGCACAATAAAGTATAAAAATGAGGTGTAGATGTTTTAAAAAGTGGTTCAAATAACATAATTCTACAACAAAAATAATAAAGACGACAGTAACAAAAACACAAAATGTATCAACCTGGTGAATCCACACATAGATGTTCAACGGTTACAAGTGCAAATAGATACACACGAGAATTAAAAAACTCATAATTCAAAGTTGCAATGATAGCTAAACATTTTCTTAAAAAAAAAAACAATGACAATGATATGAGAGATAGTAGGAAATGAAGAGAAAGGACTCACGAAATAGAAGCTCAATTAGGAACAGAGGATCGAAGGAAGAAGAATAAGGAGAAGGTGGAGAAGGAGGAGCAAGAGAGAAAGAGAGAGAGAACATGCTGATGGAAAGAGGATAATTCGGGATGCAAACGAGAATTGCTCTGGGCTTTATTGACAGGTTCATAACAATAATACCCAAAGTCCACTCTCAAAATTAACGGGAGAGTGAGAGTGATTAACCAAAAGAGGAACTTTGAAAATTTTCAGTTAACAACTGAAATTTGAAGAAGTCAAATGAACAAATTGGAGAATTTAAGCAGTTTATTAAGTTGTTAATATGAAATTCTCAATGTAATTTTTTAATATGTCATGTACTTGCTTTATTTGCTCTTTCATTATCACCCTATGTGTCTTTATTTTTTTGAAAAAAATCTCTAAAAACTACTACCAAAATAAATGAGAACATTAATCCAATCAAGATATTGAAAAATTTAAACAAAATAATCCTTTCAACTCGTAATATCACGCTCATCCATTAAACGATTACTATTTATAACAGATTATCAACTACAAATAAAAATATAAAAAATGAGTAAAAGCTAAATAAAGGTTAATCCTATGTTAAGGTTCACAAATAGATAAATAGTGAAACTTAATTATTAATTAATTCTTTTTATATTAATTTAAAATCATTTGTAACAATTTTTTTATAAATTTATAAGTTTAACTATATTTTTAGTTTCTTTATTATGATTATCATACCATTTTTGTTTTCCAATAATTTTGTTACTTAAATTTATTCCTTTAATATTTTTTAAGTGCTACAATCAGGTTCTTTTATCATTTTTTTTGTCTTTTTAAATTTCTTTTATTCTCATTTTCTTCTTAAAATATCTATATGAATAGACCAAGGAAATCATTTTGAACCTTCTTTAATATAAAATTTACCAATCAAAATATCATGTTTCATTTAATTAAAATAAAGAATTATAAATTTTTCCTCTTTCAAAATTCTAACCTTAGAAATTTTTCAAATTTCATCAAACCATTAATTATTCTAAATGTAACACCCTAGACTTTTTAATTATTTTTTTTTGATAACCTATCTAAAGATAATAATGAGCTAAGTTATCAGATTACTGCATTATTATATTATTGTTCTTACTAAAACTCATGTATTAAAACTGAGATAGGTGAATGTGTGTTATTGTGGGTGGTTCAAGGCTCTTGGTTACCTATTCATTGCATCCAATTTGGTCAGTGACAACTCTTCCATTAGACCCACAAGAAGGTGACCCCTTTTGTCAAAACCATTTCTTATTTTTCGCATCGATCACTATTAAACCCACAATATAAAATTAATAAATAAAAGAACAAATTGATATCTTCACCCCCAATGTCTTCAATCTTGTTTAATTTTACTTATCTTTACACAAAAATTATGATTTCGTCTTGTGTTATATGATTCTGAACAGTTGTTTTTACGATTTATATTTTTTTCATAGCCAAACTGTTGAACATTTAACTTAGGATTACCAATGAATGCTTTGTATGTATAGTATATACTTCTTGGTTGGTTGTGGTCAATGTATGATTTTTATGGGGAAAAGCTGCTAGCAGTGCCAAGAACCGCTTTCTTGAGAGATTCGCGTCAACAACTTTTGAGTTATGAACTTATGCCCTGCATGCACCTGATACCTGTGCCTCTGGTGGATGTAACAGCAGCACAGATCAAGAATTTGTTTTATGGCAGTTTCGATTCGACTATGTGGTTATTTCATCCTTTTGTTTATGACTTAGATTGTGCTTATTTCTTGAGAGGTTCAAATTTACTACTACCCCACGTGTTAGTTTGAAAAGTGTAACTCTTTATCTGATCTATTTGCAAAATTGTATGTTTGGCTCTCAATGTTACAGATGAATCAAAATTTTAAGAACTACATACAATGAAAAGTTCAAATTAGTTCTTTTAAACATAGGCACAAGGTATCATCCAGTTCTTGTTTATCCGCAACATTTTGTTGACAACAGTTGTGTCATCCATTCAGCTGTGATTAAAAATGATACATTGTATGATAGGATAGTTGAGTCCAAAAGATTTGAGAGTTGAATTGGAATCAATTATATTTTCTTATGAAAATTAGAAGTGGTGTCTTATGGTGACGTTTTTGTGCTGGATGCAAAATGAAATGTAAAGTTTTGCCAGGTGTGCCAAAACCAATGAGTGATTCCAATTGGGGAGCTCTTCAGGTTTCCTTCGGGTTTTATGTACTCTTCTTGTCCTAACTAGAAATAGGGTCTGCATTTATTTTTATCCATTGACATTATCCTATTTGCCTATCTTAAGTTTAGGAAATACTAGTTAGTAGGTGCACTTTTTTCCGGAAGTTTTAATGTGTTTATATCATTGTTTCGGGACTTAAAATTCCAAGAAATTTGAGCATTGACTGAAGCTAATTAACGTGGCAAAGATCTTGCTAGGTTTAAAAACCAATTAAGAGAGTTTTTCTCTATATATGTAAGGTCAATTACTGAGGATTGAAAATAAGGAGCATATTATATAAAGGTACGAAGTTACAGTATCTTACAAAAGACTCGAATTTGTTAATGGCTGGATTATCAATGAATAAATTATTTATGCAATGCTCATATCAATTTATTCCTTAATTAATATAAAAGAAAATCTCTAATTTAGTTCTTCAAAATTATATGCATCATCACAATAGTCTTTTAAAATTTTTGGTTATTAAATTAATTTTTCAAAGTTTCTTTATCATCATTTTAGTTTTCTTTTAGTCTCTAAAATTCTTTCTACAACAAGTTCAGGCTCCATAAAAATTAATTTTATGACATTCTAAAATCTTTTTGTAAAAGATTTAATTTATCACTAAATTAAAATGTAATTAATACTTTTTGTACACCACTTTAGTCTTTTATATGTACTAATTTGGTGACCAAAACTTTTATAAGACTAACATAGTAACCAAATAACTTTAAAAGAGCAAATTAAGAAATTTATCTTTAAACATGCTTGATGATTAAGATAAGACGATAAGATATGATAGTTTATTGTATCCTATTTTATTTTTGGTATTTATTAAATAATAAAATATGATTAACTTATCTTGTTAAATAAATATTTTTAAAAAAAATTATATTAATTTTGATAAAAGAGTAATTATATTAATTTTAAAAAAAATTATTCATACATAATATCCTAATGTACATCAAACATGAGATAGGATAAAAGTATATTTTTTCCTCGTCATATCCTATAATTATTCAACTCTTAAATCATATCATTTCCTTGTCTCATTTTGTTCATCAGACGAGCCCCAAGTCTAATATTTTACCATGACCATTCTTGAAGAGATCCAACGACCTGCTATCATGTTTGCTCTCGTAAGCTACATTCGAATTGATAAGAATGAAACAAAATATGACAAAACTACCTGGAAATGATTGCAGAATAAAGTTACCTTTCCATCATTTAGATACTTTATAAATAAAAGAAAGATTAGTTCAATCCTATCCCCATTTTATTTTAAATAATCTAAACATAATACCATTCTATTTCAATCTAGTTTATTCCATCCTTGTTCGTGAATCCAGACATAGTTGTAGTCTATGCTTAAGTTTATTACACCATATTGCCTTTTAAAAGTAGGGTTGATCTATTCTTACCACTGCACTTTTTGGTGGGACATATTTCCTTGCCTTGCTTTTGGTTGAGCAATTTTCTATTTACCATTCATTTTAACATTTTGAATGTCATCTCCAATCAATTATATCCTACACTAATAGTTTTTTTATTATGCATGCTATGTATATAGCCAATTGTACAATTAGGAATGAGTGCATTAGAAATAAAAAACTAATTGATGTGGCACTTATTGTAGAAAACCTTACAGAATCTCTTCATAGGTGATTTGGGAATCTGTTGATAAAATAGTTAAAAGTCCCAATCAGAAAAGTAGATCAAAAGAAAAACTGACCCTATTACTAGAGGGGGACTACAAAATAATTAAGAATTTAAAGGTCAATAATTTGTGTTTGAACATAATTCCCAATAGAAAATTATATTTTTGATTCCTACAGCCAACTTTACCAGTGAAATATAACTTGATTATCGTTTGTATATTGGCTATTGGCAACTTTTGGTTGTTGTGGTTTAAATAAAAATTATCTTTTAAAATATTATGCAGCTATTTTATTCTTCTGGTCCATTGCTGCCGTGTTATTTGACAGAAGGCTGCTGGACTACTTTTAGTTGTATTCTATGAGCTATTAATAACTAGCTAGGCATTCTGTAGATCCCTACTAGTCAGTGAGGTGATGGAATGTGCAACTAAATTCTAACGCATTTGACTTAAGGATTGGTTACTAGTTCCCTAATGAACATCTGAAAGTAGTGTTCTGTTACTAATTGCTGCTTGGTCACTGATTGGAAAGCTTCCTTACCTTGTGAAACCCACATTAGCTGGTTTCTGGGATGCATGGTTGTACTTTCAATGAGGCAGAGATCCAGACATTTTTCACAGCCAAGGAAGGTGATTGAGAGGATATGTGGATAACGAAATTACCCCACTTCAATTCAATTTGTTTTACTTTCTTTTTCCCTTTCTCCATTTTCAATTGCTTCAACGACCTAAATGAGTAATTGTTCAACAACAATTGTGTTATTGTGCGCAGATGTTTATGGAGGGCGAAAATCAAAGTCAATACTAGAGTCGTAACATTTTACGTATACTGCTGCAAAGAAACATTGGAATGCTGTGGCATGCATATATATTATTTTTTTAAATAAAAAACATGTCTTTATTTATCAATTTTTATTTTATTTAAAATTAATTACAATTTATATTTTAAATATAAAAAATATACTTTGAAAAATAAAAAATTCTATCAATTCAAAATCAAATCAAGTTATTTCACTTTAAAAATAAATTTTATCAAATTAAGATGAGTCAAAATTTAAATTTACAAATATTCATCAATTTTTACTAAATTTATAAATTACTATTTTTGCTTAATTTAGTAATATTAAGTATCATAGAGTTAAAATTTTACGATGATAATGTTGTATTTATTTTTTTAACATTTTTTATTTAAATAAATTATTTTAAACATTTTAATAATAGACGACTTAATAAATTTAGTTAACATTTTTTGCTATCAGTTTAATTTCTCTATTTTTTACTTTAAAAATATTTATTAAATGTGTTATTCCTAAGATAATTTTATAAAAGTAAATAAATAAATAATAACATAAAAATATTAAAACATAAAAAAAATTTATTATTAATATTAAAAAAATTATAAAATGTTAAAAATTATTTATAAAATTATATGAATGAAAAATGTTACTATAATTTAATAATTATTAATAATCTAGACAAAAATTAGATAAACATGTAACTTAATTTAATAATAAATTATTATATTTTATTTAATATTATTTAATAATAATAATTCATTCTAAATATATAATATAACATATTTTTTTTCATCTCTATTTTTAAGTAATTTTATTTATTTACAAGTTTATAGTAAAAAATATTATATAAAATAAACATTTTTATTAAATTATAATAAGTTTTTAAATAACCTAGCTCACTTAACCCTATGCACTTTTTACATGTGAATTTTTTAGCTCTAACCCATGAGTTAGGCTAAATTAGTTTAGACTCACCCATTTTGCATCTCTACATCTCATCTTCAACTCCAACAAGACCCACAAAACCTAGAACCACCAACATATCCACTTTTCTAAGCCTTAAGGTAATTCAGTTATCTTATTTAGTTTCTCTTTATAGCACATTTAGTATAAAATTTCTTTCGACATCTAACATTTTTCCAACTACTTCAGTAAACAAACAGGTGGTTTTTCACGAATAAAATTAAAGACCGGATCAATATAATCCAGAGCTGCATAGAAATATATACATAATTGAATTAGAAAGTGATTCAGGTTTCAATTTACAAAGTAAGTTGACTATCATTCCAACACTCAAATTTTATAATCTCCAGTGCAACCGTTCAACTACAGTCTACAGTAAGACAGGCAAAACTTTGCTTAAATGATGCTTCCTTACCTAGGGAATGAAGCAATGCCGAATTCTAATTGTAGAGGGCACGCAGAGGATTGAGATTTTATCTTCAGGTGGAAATATATAAGCACGTCCACAACCCCTTTAAATCCAGAATTCTCTTGCATCGTTGTTCAATGGATAAGCACGCAGAGCATTGCATGAGCCATAACTCAAACATATTGACCTACGAAATCCATCACAATATTCAGAAATTCCTTTATTCTATGGATGGTCTTTGAAAAAATCAAACGTCATGTCCCGTTCTTTCTTTTAGACTTGGAAATTTTGTCTACTATTATAAATAGACCCAGTTGTGGACTGTAATTTGGAAGATCTCCTAAATCCCTCATGGATTATCATATGGCCAAAAGAAAAGCAAAGAGTCAATGGCCAAGATCTCATTCATTTGTTTCTTTTATTTTGGAATATATATACGAGTGAACTGCTTCTTATAATAGCTTCCTTTTCAATTTCTAATTGCTCTATAGAGAGAATAAGGCAAGTAAAGTAAAGCAAAAAGTCATGGCAAAGATCCAGATTAAAGGAGTGTTTGTTTTCCTTTTTAAAAACAGTTTGCTGTTTTTAAAAATAAAATTCAATACAAATTTATATTAAATTTTATTTTTAAAATAGAAAACTGTTTTTAAAACAGTAATCAAATATATTCTAACTGTTTTATAAAGGTATTTTATTTAGTAATATATATGAGTGATTGCTTCTTATAACAGTTCAGTCTTCAATTTCTAACTACTTTAAGAGAGGAATTCTTAGTTTTCTAATAACTCATACTTGTAGGGGTAAAGGATACGGAAAATAATACTAGCAACACACTTTTTATACACACTCTAACACTCTGCCTTACTATTAGCTAAAATTATGTATGTTTCACTCTTTTTTCTCCTAAATTAAAGATTTTTGCAATTTTCAATAAATTTTAGTCAATAATAGAAATAAAAGAGTGTATCACTAGCATTACTCAAGATCCAGAATATACTAGTTTCCAAAAACTACTTATTTGACATTTGAAAAATTAAAAAGAAAATTTGATTGCAACAGCTTATTTAAAAAAAATTCCTTGTAAATGTCACATTAACTGTGACGTTTTACATGTTATTTTCCACATAATCATTTAAACTTTTAATCATTAAAATTTATATTACTGCATTGCAAATAAAGATATTAACATAAAATATTTAATAGTCACTGTCTTGTCATTAAAAGTATTAACATGTAACTGTCGTCTTCGAATGCCTCAGCTTTTGATGATGAAAAGGAGAAGCGCATGTATTGTAGTTTATTTATTAAGATACATTTTGGCAAACCGTCATTTTATCACTTATGTCTTGTTTTGGTTTAGTCTATCTATTCTCTTCCTTTTTAACTTTGACAATAATAATTAAGAGAAAAAAATATTAAATTGACCAATATCTTATCATTTAGATAAGATAATCCCCTAGATTACACAATCCTACTTTTCCTTTTTGCAATGAGAACACTTGCTGTATAAGGTGAAATTGATTGCTATGTAAGTAAACTCAGAATTTCTTAAGAAAAACTATGACTTCTTCACGTGTATAGCAGACATGCCAAGAATAGATCTCTCCTTAGGTGAAACCAATGAGGCAATAGAAGAAAAAGTCTGCAAACTTCAAGCCAAATTCTTCAGAGAAGTGTAGCACACCACATGGTAATAATCAAGAAGCAAATGGAAAGTGACAAACACGAATCATTGGTATCCACCGCTGAACCAATATCAAAGGATTGACAAAGCTAGCACAAGCCCAGCTCTATCCTACAAGGTAACAAAATCTTTAGTTAATGAAACAACGCAATTAAAGAAACGTATAAGACGAAGGATAGAGAATAGATTAAAAGGGAGACAAGAACATAGAAGACATTATCAATGGAAACAAAGAGTAGAGAACCATTAGCAAACAATGAGTGAGCAACATTAGAAAACAAAGAGTAGAGAGAAAAGAAGAGAATGAGAGTGATGTTAGCAAACGAATTGACCACACGAGGAGAGCACACCACTTTAATAAGTCATCAGAAGAAATAGACAGCACCTGAGAAGCAAGTAGTCAAATCCAGCAGAGTCAAAATGAACTTGTTAAGAGGAATGAGCAACATTGACCACACAAGGAGAGTGACCATGAAGGGCATAGCAGAGGAGTCTACAATGGTCACAATTAGGGCGAGATTTTTCATGTTCACAAGAGAGAGTACAATCACCCTGATAAGACACTAGAGTGAGGTAAGAATTCATTGAAAACTTGAGGAGACTAGAGACAACCAATAATAATCACATGGTTGTGACATACCTCATAAAAAAAGTTCATATATCTTCACGTCTCATGGGCACAGAAAACAAGTTGCACAAAAGGGTGAAAACTAGCCATAATAATGCAATAAAGTTGAACATTAATCTTCATCCAACGAGACCAATTAGCCTCAACAATAGTTTCACCATCTTCCCTCATAACGTTGCCTCACAAGTCAAGAACTAATATTTGAAGAAGCTCAAGTGGTATAATTTTTACCATCTAATTACTCAATAGAGAGAGGCACAGTGTTAGTGGTGTCCATAGGAAGTACTAAGGAGAGAAAGATCATAAACAATGTTGAGAACACCAACCAAGAAGGAAAACAATGACAAAAAATGAAATCAATGGCAACCAAAAATATACACACTACCACATGGCAGTTTTTGAGAGAAAGAAAAATTTTCTAAGTTACAAAGGCCTTTATCAGAACTTTCGTGGTCGAAAATGGACTGTCTTTCCGAGAAAAAACATACCTCAAAGAGCAGTGGCATGGGCACATCTTTCGACTGAAATAAAAAAGAATCCTAGGTTCCTACATCTTGACGAAATAAGGACTCATGAAAATCTAAGTTTAAAAATCTTGTCAAAGGAGCTACATTTTAAGGAGTTTTAGAGGGTCTTGAGAAAAGTCTCATTCCTTGTCGGAAAGAATACTACATTTCAAGGAGTTTTGAAGAGTTGTGAGAAGAGCCTTAATCTTGGTCGAAAAGATGGACATTTTGAGACCAAGATTGAAAACATCCAAACTTATTGAAAAAAAAATCGATGAGAGAAATTATTCTAAGTCCACAAGACAAGATGGAGCTCACAAATTTTCCTCAAAACTTGTCAAAAGGAGAATCGACAAAAAAAATTATTCTAAATCCACTAGATTGAATGAACTTCCAGATTTTCCAGGAATTGGTACGAAATTATTCTAAGTCCACGAGACTGAATGAACTTTCAGATTTCTCCTAAAATTGATTGAAAAATAGAAACTGACAGAAAAATTATTCTAAATCCACAAGACTAAATGAGCTTCTAGATATTTCTCAGAATTGGTCAAAAAATAGAAACCGACAGAAAAATTATTCTAAATCCACAAGCCTGAATGAGATTCCAGATTTCTCTCAAAATTGGTAAAAAACAAAGGATGACAATTTTCCTCCCAATTGTCAAAACATAACAAGAATTTTATTTTAAGGCCAAGATACACGGTGAAAACAGGTGAGGAAATGTAACAAAAAATCATAAGGCTCGAACAAAGTTTAAAGCGGTTACCACAAGTTGAAGATCATAAACACAAAGAAAAGATCGTGAGCATGAAGAGATGATCTTGGGTAATAGTGGTATTGACAAGCCACAATCGTCAGCACAATCATAAGCAGTTCTAGATAATAGGCAGCAATGGTTGAAAGCAATCACGCACAGGAAACAATTATCAAAATGTGCCCATTAAAGATGGAAGGCGGTTGAGGAGCCATTGCCTATAAATGTTACGAAGCTTCACATTGTCGAGGACAACTTTTTACACCTAGACACTGCACCTGAAACTCTCTGCACGTTGAAATTCTGCACCAAATCAGATACTAGCTACCAGGAACCCACACGGCTGTTGTTGTTTGTTGTTGCTGAAGTCATACGTTTATTTTACTAAAATTTACTTTTTAACTTGTTTGTTTCCAGTTCATCTACGTTGTTGCAATTTAGTTTCACGTATACTTGGTTTCTGTAATCTTTTTACATTTAGTTTAATATTGGTTTCACTATTCTACTACTATTCCTGGACAATTTCATGCTTTACAACGTTGATTCAATCATTCTAATCACAACACACTTAAAACAACTTAAAAGGACCTAAAATTCAGTCCCAGATTGCTCTTGAATTTATTTGTTTACATCCTGCAAATTTTCACCGTAAACAGGCGACAACACCAACAAGACAGCTAAGTCATGCCTACTTGTGGAAGCTCCGATGAAGGTAAGTGTCGTTAGGTGGTGGGTTGAAGATAAAAAAAAGTAGCTAGAAAATAGTGGCTATTAGTGGGCATAGTACTTGATGAGAAGGAAAATATCACAAAAACTTACCAGAAATTGGAGAACAAAAGCAATTTTTGGGAAAAATTTACGCCAATGGGCTGAACTAGCCAATAACTCTGCCTAAGGCTGCATAGTTGATCCAAGCAAGCCCAGGTAAAATGGAACGTAAAACTTATTGAACCTTTCACAAGGATTACACTCAATAATATTGTACTAGGGCTAGCCAAAACCAGAAGTAACACACTGTAAACAAATGTGTTTTTTGGTTTGGTTCATGGAATATAGGATTATGTCCTTAAAGTTATTGGTAGCACAAAACACTATTAATATCAACTCCACATGAAAAATTTTCATAAATGGAGACTTAAATGATCTAAGATAATTTACAAAGGCTTATGGTGATTTTAGTTTTTAAGAGTTAAATGAAGGACAATTTATTCTTAATTTCTCAAATGCCTATGATTTAAGATTATGAACACTTGTTTTAAGAAGAGGACAAAACATCTTATCACTTTTAAGGGCAAAGTTTCAAGGTCGCAAATAGATTTTTTCTTGGTAAAGAATTTGCAAAAGTTGTGTACAATGATTCCAGCAAAGAGCCTTACTAGACATCACAGGGTTTTGGTCCTTAATGTTTGTTTAAAGACCGGTAAAATAGAGAATTCAACAAGTTATTGTTCTAAGAATTAAATGATAGCTACTTAAGGTGAGAAACAGTTGGATTTTCAAAAGCAATTAGTAGAAGAGGGTAATTGAACCGCACCAGTTAATACGTAATTGAACTGCACTAGTTAATACTAACATTATTTAGGACAAAATGGCTATGAAGGTCAAGAAAGTTGCCATGAAAATTTTAGGTGAATCTAATAATCATTATAGTGGAATTAAAGTGTGCAAAAGAATATTAGAGATGAGGAGAAACATGTTCCGTTAAGATCTTGAGACAAAGTATGGAGAAAAAAAGATTTATAAATCCTAAATGATTCAAAAATCCCGAGAAGACTTAAGATAAAGAGCTGTATGATTTCGACCTAAATAGAAGGGGAGGCCTCTCATCACTCAACCAACCTTTAGCAACACCTAGGCTGGAAGGCTAAAGGTGGTCCAACACCAATTTTCATGGTTGTCAAAATTGTAGACATAGTAGTCAATCCCAGATAACAACTCGAAGTGGCCAACCTAAAAAATGCTATAGTAGGATAGTGGATAGCGGGATGACCACTATTATGAAGATAGTCAAAATAGAGAAGGAGAATATATCAAAGAGTGTTCAATCATTGGAAAAAACTCTAACACAAATGGCTCACTATCATCGAAGAAAGTATACATTTCGACAGAAATAGCTTGGATAACACCAGAGATGAAGACAACCAGAAAATGTCCATGCTTACGTTAGAAATAAGTTAGGTTTCATCAGAGATGAAGACGACAACCAGAAGTTGGGTGGAGACGGTGACTTGCACCAGAAAGTGATGCCAACGATGGGGGATGAAGCAAGAGAAGAGAGAATAAAGACGAAAGTAGGGTTCCAAACTTTTAGAAATATAAAAAAGGGACAAAATCTCAAGATTGTCTCTGTTAAAAAGCATTCCAACTTTCAAAAAGGGAATGCAAACTCGTCCTTTTGCCCTTGTTTGACATACAAAGGGGGGAGAAATCCCCAAGTTGACCCCCCTTAAAAAGCCTTACAACCTTAAGAAAGAGAGGGCAAATTTTCCCTTTTTCCCTAGGATGAAATAGCTGCTACTAGGGCCATGATTTTCTCTGCTTTTTGCCACTACATTGAAATGCAACGGCGATGGAATAGAAGCACCCAGCTGCTCTGCTCCGCACCTCTGCAATAGCGGTCACTATTGACTACTCTAACTGCATGTTGAAGCATACAATCAACATGTTGCAGGTTCCCCAACAAAAAAAATGGATTATACAGGATTACCTCTTTCTTAACTTGTGTTTATTTCAAGATATTATCATATTGTAATTCAGCATATATTTAATGGTTTGCTCAACAAAAGGTGTTCTTCACACCACAGCCTGAAGTTTAAAGAATCATGAGTACCTTATCAAATCTTATAAAGTATCTGCATATGGACCAAAGCAGAAGGTAAATAACAAATTACCCAATTTCATGGAATTTCTATCAACCAGATTTCCTTTCCTTGTCATATTCATATATCTAATAGGAGGATGCATATGAAGAATACTTAATTTGACTGACCTGGTTTATCTAATTCATGTTGTACAGTACAGACGTATCCAGTTTCTACAAAGTAGATGACAAAAATTAAGGAATTTTACCACAGAAATTTCCAATGCGTTAAAAAAATGATGAAGCTGTTTAAAAGCAGAGAGAGGGTGGGACCTTTCATTTTAATAAAGGTGCATAGGGAGCAGGGCATGGAGATATACTGTCGTCTGGTAGCTGGTTTATAAAATCAGTGGTTGCCTGCAAACATGCATGAAGCATTTTCTTTTCCAGCCTAAGAAGTTGAGTAGCAACTCGCTTCTTTGGATTCAGATTACCATCTGTCAGCTAATGAAATATGTAAATCATTAATGAAAAGTTGACAAGTCTTATGTCACATCATAATCAACTTCAAATTCAAACAAACAGTACCACAGATTCATCTTCAGCCAATGTTGTAGGGTAGCCAGCCAGCCGTGTATTGAAATAATCAGCCAGCTGGTCTAACACAGCCCGTTCCATGCAGGGACTCACCTATATAATGTATAAATGGAGTCAGCTTTTCACATCACAATATTTATTCTACATTTAATTATATAGGAATAATTTATTTTGAAAAAAGAGAATAAAACTGTGTTATTTATCAAAACCCTTCAAGATCAGGCCCTCAAGTCAAGAAATTAATATATGAAAGAGGCAAATGTGTAGGACATCAAGGGAACTTAATCCCACTAGTATACAGAACAGATACTAGCATGTGACCATGCCATTCTTAAAATTCCACAAAGTCAAAAAGCACAAGATGTAACAGACTTACGGGACAAACTGGACCTTGAGAGGATATGACAGACTGCATCTCAGAAGGATCTGAAACATAGCCCAAACGCAGGTAAGGAAGCATATCTGACACAGCTTCCCTTTCCTTCCCAGCATATACCTGCACAAAGGTTGAACTAAGAAATTAAATGAGAAAATTCACTAAATAAACTTCAATAACCTTGGGATCAGTATTGATACATGAAAAACTTGCACTGACAACTTTCCATTTCTTTGAGCAACCATTCTTTTATCTTGATATTGTGGATCCTCAGTATTCAAAGCTGCCTGGTACAGATGCATCAGTGAGGTTAAATCTGAATTGAAACAACAAAATACTGGATGAAACAGAATAAATGTCCAAATTATACCTCAACTACTAGACGATCATTGGAATTATTTTCATCAACAAAGCCGTAATTTATAAGCAACTTTGAGTTAGCTTGTGGACCACACCTGAAAATGACCAACTGTAAATCTTATAATGAAGCTACTAATACAGAAATAAAGTCCATCAATGCCAAACCATGTACTTTTTCCCCAATTAAATGAAGTCAAATGAATACATATTATACCAGACAACAATCGGGTCCCCAGCTTTATATGGGCGATCAACTGCAAGCTCAACAGCACCGTCAACAGCAGTTAACATTGCCTTGCAGTTGCTTTGGTAGGCCAGTAAAGGAGGTCCCAAGGGAACTAAAGCAAATCTCCGCGCTAAACTAACTTTCTGATTTCAAAAAGGACAAACAATCAATGTGTTCCCATTGTAGAAAGGGAAGGGAAACAATATGTACATATTATACACGGTAATCAACTGTTGTCTAGAGCCTAGACAGAAGAGCCTAAGCTCCCAGGAAACATATTAAATGCCAGAAACAGAACAGTAAATCAATCAATGAGAAGTCTAGCATAAAATATTACAGCTAAATCACAAAATGTAATGGCAACAACTATCCAAGGATTGCAAGGAAATCACTGCAATATGGAAAAGTAAGAATTAACAGCATTAATAATATCATGCATGCTGAAACTTGTATACATTCTGTAGTCACAATAGCAAATATTTTGATTTAAATTTGTTTATCACCACTTCATCTAACAAATTCAACAATCATTTAATGATAAATCTACAAATTAGATTGAATAAGTAAGGCTCTAAGGCTTGATATTTAATTGTATCATGGAAGATTACAACATTTCATATTTAGGTAATTCCATTCCCCAAACAAATGTAACAAGCTCATTAGAGTTGAATCAAAATAGACTTAAAAGATTGGTCAGCAGCTACTGCTTAGTTTGGAGGCATTTGTGCATACTTAACTAGCCGTTTAGATATGTATCAGATAAGGAAAGTTTACCTGTAAATGCACCACACATGACTGAATAGCAGCAAAGGCTTGTTTGAAAATCTCAAATGAAAAAGCCTCAGTAGGGATGTCATATGGATATTGCTGCATTAAATTTATGGATATAATGTGAGCACTGAATATCATAATGCAAATAACTACTGAACTTGTTCTAGTGCATTTTTACTTGCCTGAAACAGAGAACCTGCCATAAACCAGACTGTGTCAAGTTCATTATACTCTTTTCTTATTGCTTCTTCCCTCTGAATAACTTCAGCCTAAATCATAGAGGAAAATGTATTTAACTGAAAAATACCAAACATTAAACCAACCTAATATGACCTCATCAGTATTCAATGGATGTGGCAAACTAGTGTATACACCATTAATTAGGAGAGGTGAAGGGGAATACCTTGATCGGACTTCCTGACAAGTAATCCAGCTCAGATTCTGACCATAGAAGTGGTGATTCCACCGCAAGCTGGCCCCTACCACGTTGACGATCAAGCTCCCTGATGTATGGATACCAGAAAGACTTCTTCCCCTGTTTTTTCTCGTACATCAGATACAACGCCAAGCATGCCAATTCAGACAATTTATTTGTTGTCAATAGTTCAGCTGCAAGGGATAAAGCACTCGATATAAATTCAAATTTTAAAATGCTTCAATACGCCTCCAATCCATTGACATGTAGCTCTTATTATACTGAACAACACAATGACCTATAAATCAATCACTCCAAGTAGGAAAAGGGACTCAAATCACCAATTCATTTCCATGAATATGCATGCTTTGTTGCCCAAAATGCCCATTTCTCTTCCATATTTCTAATGTCTTGCTGACACTAAACATGATTAACTACAGAAACATGCCATACCTCATTCAAAATATCTATCATATTCATAATAATTCAAGCTCAGGAAATCTCCTTTACAGCAAAGATATTTCAAATCAATATGCCACCATAATGGACAAGTTGAAATCCTATTAGCATGACATGCTAAAACCAACCATTGTTCATTTTTTCTTGCTGAAACTTTTTTAAGCAATGCCCCAAAAGCATTTAATATCCTTTATTAAATTGTCATGATTAATTAAAAAAGAAATATTCAAAATATTTTTGGTTCCATATTTTGACACCCATATTCAATTTAGTCTCTATGAAAAAAAGCTTTCAATTTAGTCATACATACATGATTATTTTTAATTTGGTTCTTGTCATGTGTTACTGCTTAACACCATTGATTGGAGACATGGAGTTTCAAAATAGTAAAGTTTAAATTAAAGACTAAAGTTGAAAACAACTATACATATAGGAACTAGGAAGGGATCATCAACTTCTTTCTAAGAAAAGATCCATATAGAACGAATGTAACGTATAAGAAGTAAGAACTAAAAATCTATTTTAAAAGAAAGAAAGTATTAAAATGTTTTTTAACATTTTCAAGCTATATTAATATTCATCACTCCTTATCAAATTAGTAATGAAAAAAAAGTAAGCAATATGCATTCTAATGCAATGGAAAGAGGCACAACACAACACAAAAGTATTAAAAAGATTGCACAATTACCAACAGTCTCGTTTCCCAAGACCCTCTCCAGCGTGACAACCAACGAATTTGGAACGGAGAATGCAACATCGCCAACCTGAGAGGAAAGACAAGCCCAAATAAACCATCACAAAACCCATTAAAGAAACAAAGCTTAATAATTTAACTTGTATAATCTCCATAGTTTTTCGACCGTTCAAATAAGTTCCTCACTTTAAAATCTCATCCAATAATTGATAAAGATATAATAATATTAATTTAGATAAATGAATAAAGAATGTATAAAATATTTAATAAAATGATGAATAACATTTATAAATATAATAATAATTAATCCAAGGAACAATCACACATCAATAATAAAATAATAATTTCCAGTGGTGAAGGAACCTGAAGATCTTCACTTGCAGCAACGTAATGTATGGGTTTAAGGGAATCATCGTGGGAAGGTCTTTCCTTCAGAACAACCTTGCACGGAGGGAGGCCATGCTTGTGCATCCAAGATTTCAAGTCCTCCTCGAGCTTCATGTCGACGCCGGCAGCGACGGTATCGCCGCCGGCGAGCAAGGTGTCAGGATTGGAGACGGAACAGAGACTCCTCCGGCGACGGCGGTTCTTGCGGAGGGCGAAGAATGTGGGCAACGGCGGCGAAGAAGAATAGCGAATCGGAGGGGAGAAGAAGCACTTGTCCGAAACAAAGAGATTAGAAAGTTCCATAGGGTTAGGGTTTTGGGAAATTTAGTGGGGACGCTTGGGTTTCAGTCAGAGCAAGAAGTTAGAAGAAGAAGTACGCGTGTTGATGGTTAGTTAAAGAGATATTATTTTGGTTTGAGATTTTGGACTGTTGTAACGTTGGCGAAGGATAAGAAGAGTGAAAGGGAAATGAGTATTTTGGGTTGGAGGGAAACAAAATTCTTTCTTAGTTGTTTTTTCACCGATTACTCACCGTTGTTCCATAGTTGTTATGGATTTTGCAAAACCTCTCATAAAATTGCCGAGGCTGGTGTACATGATTTCGTTTGCACTTTGGCTCCTCTCCAGCAGGTTTTTGGTGCACTCAGTGTCCTACAAAAATCCCAACCATTGACATATGATTTTACAAAAGTTTAAATAAAAAAGATGGTATGATATACGGTTAATATCTAGTTAATAGTTTTTTTTTATCTTACGTATAAATTTAATTAATAGTAGCTGCTTCTAGAGTTTTAATTATTCTTGTTATTTTAAAATTTTGATGTACTATTTAATATATATATATATATATATATATTAATTATCTAATTTTAAATATATTTTTAGATAATTATTTTTTTTATGGAATTAAGCAGATGGTATATTTTAAAATTAAATTGATGACTAATTTTTTTTATAGATTAAATATCATGACAAATTTTAATTTAATATTTTTTACCTTTGTCAGATTTAAAATTAAATAATAAAAAATATTAAAATCATTAATTTATAAATAATTCATATTAAATATAATAATATATCATGATAAGATTAGAGCCCAATTTAGTTAAACTTTTAAAGAAGTTTTTATAAGAAAAAAATTATTATAAAAAAATTCTTTTATAGATTAGCAGCAACTAATCTAACTTAGTTTATGGCCGCATAGCTACTCCAAAACTTAAATAAAAGAGGAAGATCGTGTTAAGCCTTTGACAGCCAATATAAAATTTAATTAATAATTTTTTTATTTTAAATAAATAAAGATTTTTTTCTTTAAAAATATCTAGTTAATAGTGTTTTTATCTTACATACAAATCTAGTTAATAGTTGTTGCTTCTAAAGTTTTAAATTATTCTTAAATATATTTGTTATTTTAAAATTTTTATGTAAAAAGTACTTATTTAATATAAATTTTTTATTTAATATATATATATATTAAATTAGAAAATAAAAATTTACGAGGGAAAATTAATTTTGAATATATTTTTAGATAATTAATTTTTTCATAGAATTAGGCAAATGGTATGTTTTAAAATTAAATTGATGGTTAAAAATGAAAAAAAAAAAATAGAAGCAATTTATCTAACTTCATCTATGGCTGATGTGTAAAAATCAAATCACTGGGCAAGTGTACCCGTTGTCGAAGTAATATTATTAAAATTAAAATTAAAGTACCAAGTGTCGTATCTACAGGAATTGTTATTAAAAAACTTTTCCTTAATTGTGTAATTGTTAATAAATATGAAAAATAAACCTTGTTGATGAAATTGCTAAAAGTAAAAGAATAATAAATTAAAAGGAACAGATATTCTAGTGAAAATAAATTATAGAAAATTATGACTAAAGGTATTCAATGTAAAAAGGCAAGTATCTAGACTTTAAATCCCCCTAAGTGTGCAAATAACTGAAATTCTTCTTCAATTACTTAGTTCCAAACCCTTATCGCTGCAGGAAATTCCAAATTAAATCAATACCTTTCTCAAGGATAATGATTCCTAACCCTCAGTTGATTAATCGGAATCTCTTCCTTAATTAATAACCCTAGGTTGCATTAAGTTCATTATGAATTCCATAATTAGGGTTAATCCTAATACAGAAAACTCACATCTTTCTATCTCTAGAAATACATTCAAGTCTTTTTAATTGAGCAATGTTAATTTCATGCAGGATTTTTACTCAAATTCAAACAAGAAAACAAGATAGAGAAAATTGATACTACTCAATTAAACCCAAGAGAAAAGAACATGAAATAGCATTAGAAGAATTCCAGAAAATTTAGTCAATTAGGATTCATTACATCTAGATACTCAAAGGAAAGTTAGAACCTAAACATCTTGAAATTAAAATTACAAAAGAGATGAATTAAAACGCTTGATCCTATCCTCCTGTTGTCTCTGAGTCTTTCGTCTCCAAAAAAATTGCCCCCTCAGGTTTGAGTTTAGTTCTCCTTTTATAGGAATTATCCTAGGGTTAATTTTCTCGCAAAAGTTAAATTTCTGACGCGCGTAAAAGTACACGCCCAAGTACACGGCCATGTACTTGGTCGTGTACATCTCTGTTTTCTAATATACGCCCTTCAAAGCTTTCCATAAAAGTACAAGCTCATGTCCACGGCCATGTATCTGGCCGTGTACATCTCTGGTTTTGATAATACACTTCAATTGACGCGACCAGTGAGATACACGCTCATATACACGGGCATGTACTTGGTCGTGTATATCTCTTCCTTTTTTGTGTGTTTCAATTCCCAATATCTTTTAAAACTTTCACTTCTTGATCCTTTTTCCTGAAATATGAATAAAATGAAATTAATAATAGTAAATTTTCTCAATGAATAGCTTAAAACTCTCAATTATCATTCATGAATTACAATGTATGATCAAGTATAGAAAGCATTTATCAATGGCCTTGTAGCTAGACTTAAACCTAAATAAAAGAAAAGAGTTGTGTTAGGTTTTCGACAACCAATATAACATGTGTCAAAACATTTTATATGGATTACACACGATAATATTATATTAGAACTAGGTTGTTACCTTAAAGTAACGCACATTATGACTCAAGTATAGTATCAAATGAGCTAGAGCTGCTGCATTAGCACCTGGATGTAGTGTTAAATGAGTAAAGTTTCTCACATTTGGCTAGACAAATGTAAGTAAAGAAGTTAGTTCGATAATACGTGATGAAATATTGGTAATTTGACAAGAAAGTCATTGGAAGTGATAGACATTATAACTCAGAAAAATTAACACCATGTATTTTCAAGAAACAAAATGGGTTGGAAATAAGGCTAAGGAGCTCAATATTACAAGTTTCAAACTTTGGTACGTACGAAAAGTTACAGAAAAGAATAGAGCAGGCATAATTATGGATAATATATGGAAAAAGAACATAGTAAACATAAAAACAATTGGAGATAAGATTATGTCCTTGAAGTACACTATTAATGTCATTAGTACTTGTGTTCCACAAGTTTACTCAAAAGCTCATTTTAAATCAAAGTTTTAGGAGGACTTAAAGGAGTTAATCCAAGACATTCCACAAACTAAAAAATATTTTCATAAGTGTAGACTTTAATGGACATGTTCATTGTGAAGCAAGACAATTTGTAAGAGTTGATGATGATTTTGGTTTTGGAGAGTTAAATGAGAAAGGATAGTCATTCTTGATTTCTCAATGTCCTACGACTTTAAGATTATGAGCACTTGTTTTAAGAAGAGGGTGAAACATCTTATCACTTTTAAGAGCATAGTTTCAAGGTTGCAAATTGATTTTTTCCTAGTGAGAAATCTAGATAAAGGATTTTGTAAGGATTGTAAGGTGATTCCAAGAGAGAGCCTTACTACACAACATAAGGTCTTGGTCCTTGATTTTCATTTTAATAATAGTAAACAAGAATTGGACAAGTTAGTGTTCCAAGAATTAAGTGGTGACACAAGGTAATTGGTAACATCATTTGGAACAAAATGATTACAAAGGTTAAGAAAGTTGCCAAAAAAATCTTAGGTGAATCTAGAAGTTTTGGACCAAAAGACAAAGAATCATGGTAGTTGAATGAAAGTGTGCAAAAGAAGATTAAAGAGAAGTGGATGTGTTTTAAAACTTTGCATAATGTAACAATGCTAAAAATTAGGTAAGGTATCGAAAGGCGAAAAAAGAGAAAAGAAAAATAGTGAGTGAATCACATTCTAAGACTTTTATTCTATCAATAACTTAGGACAAAGTATAGAGAAGGGCAGATTTAAAACTTGTCAAAAGTAGAGAAAGAAAATCTAAAAATTTTGACCAAGTTAGATGTATTAAGGATAAAGAAGGAAAAGTTTTGGTTTTGGATAAAGTCAGAGATCGATAGGAGAAATATTTCTATCAACTTTTCAATGAGGGACAATGAGTAAGTGAAAATTTAACAGGATTAGAAGTACAAACAAATGATCTAAATATGAGATATTATCGTGGGATTCGAATTGGAGAAGTAAAAGAAACTCTTAAGAGGATGAAGACTGGTAAAGCAGTTGACCTCAATAATATCCCTATAGAAGTTTGGAAAAGTTTGGGAAAACAAGAATGGGAATAGCTCACTGAGGTCTTTAATGAGATTCTGATATATAAGAATATGTCAGATGAATGGAGGAAGAACACTGTGGTTCCTATGTATAAAAACAAGGGTGATATTCAAAATTATGCAAACTATAAATGGATTAAACTCATGAGTCATACTATGAAATCATAAAAAAATGTGATTGAACATAGAATAGGGAGGAAACTAAGATTGTACAAAAATAAATTTGGCTTTATGGTAGAAATATCTACAACAAAAGATATATTTTTAAGAAAAGATGATGAAAATCACTATAAAGAAAATGACTTACACATGATTTTTATTGACTAGAAAAAGACATATAATCAGGTACCAAGAGAAGTGTCATGGAAGGCTTTATAAAAGAAAAAGGATTCGTTTAGCATATATTTGGACAATATAAGACATGTATGAAGGAGTAATTACATGTCTAAGAACTTCTAGAGACATATCTAAAGACTTTCCAATTAGAATAGATTTACATTAAGACTCTATTTTGAGTCTTTACTTATTTAATCTAGCATTAAATATACTTACACATAACATACAAAAGATTATCCCTTAATGCATGCTTTTTGTATATGATATAGTGTTGGTTAAAGATTCAAAAAAAGAGGTAAATGTTAAACTTAAGTTATGGATGGAGACTTAAAAAAATAAAGTTTTCACTTAAGTAAAAGTAAGACACATTATATGCATTATAGGCTTAGTAAAAAACAAAATGAGGATCATATGTTCAAAGTTAAAATTAAAGATGATATTATACTACAAGTTTCTAGTTTCATGTTGTAACGTCCTTATTTTATTCAAAACAATAAGAAAATAATTTTGTAGTTAGGAAAGAAAGATTTAAATTAAATACATTTGCCAGTCGAATATAACACGTGGAATTATAAAATATTTTTGCTTATTTTTCTCAAATTTACAAAATCTAAATAACAAGGTAATGGAAATCAAACCAATTAAAATAAACATGAAATAGCATTAATACATTGTTATCATAAGTTTACAAGAGGTTAACATTTGCAAAATATAACATCAAAATATTTTA